AAAATTGAAATATCAAAAACAAAACCGACGATAGAACAGTTCGTTTTAGAGTTTTAAATCTAATAATATGTACATTTACTATGATAATAAAACAAACAACACTACGTGGATTCTGCTGATTGCAACTTTGATGTTACGAGTATGTTGGACGGAGGGAGATCCGACTTAGGATTCGATCGAATACCAAGTCCTTTAAAACTTTAATCATACTTTTTATGTAGATAATAATAATGTGGATGTACAGTGCATCGCACTAACATAGCATAAATATTGGCTTACATGCCTACTTAAAATGGTGAATAATATTATCAGGAACAGATTTACTTATTGTATATACCTAATAATAATTTATTCTATAATTTAATATGATAAATACATTTTATAACATCATTGTTTATCTTCACGTGTTTGCAGAAATTATGTCTCACAAGCTATAGAATCGATTCAAGATTTCGACAAAGTCCTACCAACACATCATCGAACGTAAAAAGACTCGTTATTATATTATTTATTTATTTATAAACATTTTATTATTTTTGTACCATGATGTATATTTTTATTTATTAAATTTAAGTATTTTTTGTGTTGTATAATTTATAAATACGCCAAATTGGAGTATGGGTTACACTCGACGATATTAAATTTGGCTATTTACCATTTTCACATTGTGTTTAAATTCATTTAATAATATTTATTAATAGTTATTAATTGCGGAAGTTGCTACTAAAACATTTGACATTCAACTATTCAAAATATTTAAACAATCGTCGAATGCACAACAAACGAGTATATTATTATTAAATGTTTTGTTTTGGGTGCGAGGGAAGGGAAACATCAGTTATTAATCATCTACAACTTTCCAAACATGTATATCTACTATTTTATTAGTTGATAGTACGATATTACAATAATTACAGTATAATTATATAGCAATGTATTCTCTACAAACTAATAGGGTATACTATTTATACACATACTTGTTCATACCTACCTTAAAATTATTTTTGTGTTTAAATGTCTCTCTACTCACAAGGATTTTCTGCATACTATCTGTATTAAAATTTACAACTTGGATTTCGTTAAAAAAAAATAACTCTTAGTAAGTACTTAACGGAAAATTATTTCTAGTGGTGTAATTCTCAAAAGTATATTAAATTACAACCACAAATATTTTAAAATAAACTTATAACTGGAATACCTATACCAACGCGTATTTATAATTAAAATCCAAATACACCGAATATAATATTATGTTGTGTTTTGTTATAAATACTTTGGAAAATGAATATCCAAGTATCTATCTACACATGTAATTAATTATGATACAACATGATACTGTTTAAATGTTAAAATTCTTTTTTGCAAAAAATAAAATTATTATTAATATATAAACAAACATATAAACCGTGAATATTTAATTAAATTGCGTTTTTTACAATTATTAACCTAACTTAGATGTTGGACTACACGAATGTATACCACATTTCATTATGATGAATTTCAAAAATTCGAAATTACAATTAATTACAATAATCAAAATTATAATGGTACCTACATAAACATAATACATCTCAAATATATGTTTTTTAACCTGTAGTATAAAAATTATATAAATGACAAATCAATCTATTTAGTTTTATATTGGCTTAAAAATGTAAAGACCTTTTCCATAAAACTATCCATGATTAAATCGTATTGTTTTATTAAAAAAATTAATATAAATAATATGATGGGGTGTTTTTTTTTTTTTAATAATTATGTAAATAACATAAACGCCATCCAAGCGAGAGACCTACGAACGCCATAATTAGGTAGAGACCGATTTCGAGGTGATGGAGGAATAATTATAGGAATTTGAGAAGAAGTTGCATATTGCAAAGATATACCTATCAATAATACGTCCTAATCGTAATGAAAATCCACAAAGGAACAACATTTTCTATGTCTCCTCAATCCTAAAGGGTGTAAATAAAATATATGTCCTAAATTATCTACTTACTCAAGTCAACTTTTGATATATATTTAACTCGCGGAACGTGTAAATATTACATTTTATATTGTTCTTATTTTTATAAATATATATGTAGTAGTCAGGTTTATTTGAATGTATTATATTTGACAAAAATCAAAAGACATAAAAATCCGGTAAAACAAATATTATATACAAACACTATCGTGTGTCAAAAAAAGAAATAACCGTGTATCTCATCATAAAACAGAATAATAATAATATCGCATGTCCTTGAACCATCGATTTGTGCGAATTGTTTCAAGTCGAAAAGGAACGGCTATGTAAAACAAGATGTACAATTATACAAATATTACAAATACACCCACCAGTTATTCTTGAGGGATTGAAAATATATCTCCCGGTTCTAATGTCCTTTGATTTAAAACCACCATACCTGGTAGAATATTCCACTATTAAAATAAAAATAATTTGTATTTTGAGTGTGCCCTTTGAATACAATATTATAGAGTAAGACAAATTAGATTATTTCGGAGAGAGAGAGTAGTAACTGCAAACGTGATGGGAACAAACATATTATCGTGGAATAAAAAAACGAAAGCTATTCTTATTATCTGCAGAATCCTAAAATTGTAATGTATAAAAAAAAAAATTGATTTTTTTTGAACTAAATTCTAATTTAAATAAAATACTTTTTTGTCCACCTGTTGAATACATTTCTTTTTCACATATAAATGTATTGATAAAATTGACTATTATATTTACATAGCAATATAATTCTTATAGAGAGCAATAATAATTACAGTAAGAAAAATATCAATAAACTGTTTATATATGTATATAATCTTATATTTATTGTTTAATATATATGTATACATTTTCCGTTCATTATGCCACATTAAGCATAAGCTTTGAAAAATCCTATAGGTTATGGAAGTGGAATGTAGAACTATAGGAAGTGATTGGATTTAAAACAAAGTGTTTTTTTCCGGTACTTAAACACCATTCCAGGTAGTTAAACATGACGTTGTAAACACGCTCTAAAAGTTCCACGTAGCACGCATATATATTATGTATAACAATTTACAGACTTCGATTGTATGTAAGTAATTATTGTTCACTGTCGAAATAGATACATTACACAATAAATACGAAAATATATGTTGTATAAATTATCCATACGATAAACATTAAATATCACCAAATAGTCCATTCGTGGATTGGTACAACCGACCACTGGACCGGAGGAGAAAAAGGATATCTTATTTGTTTCTCACGAACGGCCAACCGTTATCATTCAATTATTTATATTATCCTTTAGAGTTACAATAGCATATTACTCAATAATTTAATTTTTAATTGTATAAGTATTTAACATACATTAATTCTGATGCTCTTATCTACATCAAAGACTATAATACATTTAAAACAATTACTTTGTATCTTAACGTTATATATTGTTACTTGTTAGTAGAGTAATTACTTTTCATAAATAGGTAGTTCCAATTAAAAAAGACATTTTTTTTCGCTACATGATTACAGTCTAAGAGGTATTTCTACGAACAATTAAAATAAATTAAATTGTCTCCCCAGAAAAATGAAACATATAAACCGTTTTAAGTTATATTATTTTCTATTTTTTTTTTATTTAATTGTACAGCTAAGTGTTTGTTTATTAAATCTGGAATCAAAATTGTTTGATCTAACATATTTCAAACTTTAAGTTCAATATATCTAAACGTATAAATTGTTAGACTTTATTATCTAGTGCTTGAAAATTTAATACCAAATTTCTCAATAGTTATTGTATATTTGAATTTAATAAAAAATGTTAACGTTAAGCCACGTTAACATGCTCATCGTGTAGATTATTATTGGTTGAAAATTATTAGCGTACAAATAGCAATATTGTCCACTATTTCTGAAAACCAACGCGTAATAATTGATCTATATTTATTAAAAATATAAGCTTGTTTGTATTTCACAGCAGCAAATAACTGAAAACTGTTATTTAACAATCAAGTGGACTTAAAAAAAAAAAGTAATGAATAATGAAAGAATATTTATTGCAGAAACATTAATAATGTACACTGCAGTTACGTAATTACATAATGAAGTTTAATTGAGTTGATACACCTACCATGGGTGGATATTTATTATTTATTCTTCAATTATTATTATTCAACGTTAAAATAAAGATATAATATTTTATTTATATAAATACTTATTTAATGAGACGAACTCCTATCATATTTTATTTTTTAAATTCCATACAATATTACAGTATATTTAGTTCATAATATTACCTATGTATTTTATTATATTATTTTAAACAATTTTATTTTAAACCAATCGAGTTTGTACTATAACTATACGTCTATACGCCTATATATCATACTATATACTTACTGTTTTTTTCTTTGGTAATTTGACAACAATAAGAATGCCAAATTCTTTAAAATCCACACATCAGATGTACTCGTATGTTTGTTTCAAACCGCATTGGGCAGTAGAGAGTTCCGAAAATCCTTTCCCGATTCCATGTAGCTCGAACTTGATAACATATGAATGAATAGCACACATTATTATTCCGTTGTTTTTGTTTCTCATCAAATTATTTTAAACTCTATTGTTCGATTTTTAAGAAGAAAAATACAATTCTTGCAATAATTCAATGTAAGTTTTCAAAGCACTAACCATCTATTTTGGGCGCGATCCAAAAAAATAAAACATGTCTCCTGTACACGAGGAAATTTTTGTCTGTTTGAATGTATAAAACTGTTTTCAATTATATACTGCTCCTGAAAAAGTATACGTCTAAAGGTTTTTCATTCTAAATATGTATGCATATTATGACAATAAAAAAATTCCAGATTTCTTTTATTGATAATATTTTATTTAAATATAATATCCTACTTTTATGACTACAGTATTATATTACGTATAAGTACTTAATGAATTGTACCTATAATTAATAATTATTAAATCTTACAAATAAATTATGATAATTATTATAATATATGTACAGGGGAATTACATAAAAGTGCAAGAATGGGCAGCATACAAAATATTAAGTATTAAGACAATATAAAATATAAATAGGATTAATATATAAGTGGTAGACGGCAATTTGATTAATAATATTCAGAGTAAAATTAATACTTAAACAAGAAACACCGACCTTTACGCTTACAGGTGATAATTTGTGTTGTAATTTTTATATAGACACTATAAATGCATGTATAATAGGTACAATGAATCGTTTCATTCAGTCTTCGCTCCTTAATAAAATTATGTTATTAAAACAAACAATATTATGTGGTATCCGACAATAAGTTTATTTTAACGGAGAAGGAGAATAAAATTAAAAAGTGCATACATGCTTTTAAAAATGTAAATAAAAAAAGAAGAATGGTTAGGAAATTGACTTGACACGTAAGCGAACGTATTGAAAAAAAGAAAATTTATTATTTACACTACTATTATCATATAGTTTTTAGTAAACTCCGATTTGACGAACTTAACAAATCTTATTCTTCGTACAATAGAAAGGTCATCTTAATTTTTTCGAAGCGCACCAAGTTGAGCTGCCAGCGACGTCTCATCAGAAACAAATGATCTTTTCTTATTCACTTTAACATCTTGTGGAAACTGAAAACAAAACAAATAATGTACGTTAATACAATCGAAGTTTTGTCTCCTAATAATTAAGTCTTATAAAAATACGAAAACAACTTATTCTTATTTTAAACTATTTTATTAGCACAAAGTAAAGACCAAAACATTAAAAATAAGATTGACTTAATGTGTTACACTTATACTGAAATTATCGTACGTTTTACGTATTTTCAATACCTAAACGTTATTTTTTCATGGACAATATATTTTATGGCGATGAGAATATATACATTTTTATTGAACTATAATTGAGGTCGTTTGTACAAAATAATAAAACGCGCTGTGAATATTATGTATCACATAATATAATACGATGCATTTACAATATTATTCCAAAAACAACTTTTTTTGTTACAGTCCATATGTAATGTATAAATGCATTAGTATTGTAACTTAAAACTTAAAGCAGCTCATTTGAAAATTAATGTAAACACGGTAGCTGTAGTCATCCGATACTGTTTACGAACAGTAACAGAATCAACGATGGGGTGTGGTCTAGGTAACGTTTTTAATCATCTCTCCTACGTATCTATCTATCTATGTATATATAAATATAGATATACATGAGTGTGTAAATTAAGTTATGTTGTTTAAATCGACCTATTTATGTGTATATTTGTATAAATTCAGTACACAGAGTCACTATTAATTTAATTTATGAATCAAATAATGTAGGTTTTTCCAATTTTATTTAAAAAAAAAATTCAGAATACCATATATTATGGTCTACATTGATTTTTATTGTGGAAAAAAAATTTGAAAATGTGCCACACAAAATTTAATATTAATGCACTCACTTTAATTTAATTTAATATACGTAGGTTGTAGGTATATGTTATTTTATCTGACATTCCAGTACTATTCAATGACTTCAAATGTGTCTCAAAAGGCACAGATGCCACAGATTGGACATCCCTGATACACACTATAAGTATGTAAACCCGCATATGATGTGCAAATCGTGCAATATCTAATGTTAATTTTTGCACTTGGACCAGGTCCATGGTAAATTTTGTCTCTAAGGCACAAACGCTTATACTATTAACTCAATATAATTATATAGTATTATTGTTTTCTCTATATGGCCTTGAATTTTTATACGAAATAAATTAACTACGAATTAAAGTATTGTCCGTGGTCTGCGTTTGAGCAAGAGACGAGAATTGTGGTGGGTAAAATGGATTCATGAACGTAGAATAATAGGGTGTGTTGTGTGGGTGGTGAGTCATGGTGTTAACCTATAACTACTCTGTTTCATTCCCAGAGGAAGAGAGAAAGGAAGGATGAAGAAAGCCTTATAAATATTCAGCACGTTACTCTTTCGGAGGGTTGTTAGGTTCGGGTAGATATCACGAGGTCGCTTGTGCGTGTATGACGTCAGGCATGGCATTTTTGTTAGTGTTAGATGGTTAGGGTGGTAGTGATGATAATAATGTTAAGGGGTAGAAATTCAGGGAGAGGAATGGAAATTCGGTGCGAAGAGCCATGAGAGGTGGGGTTTCATTCAATAGCGTGCGGTATACAAGTTTCTATTTTCGCTATTGACGTCATACACACAGTTGCCGGCAAATTTCCGACCTCCATTCAAGAATTCGAGTGCCGCCGTCGGCGAGAGACTCCGTATCGATTGTTCCAGCGTTGACGTCACAGCTAGAGAAAAATAATACAATTTAAACGCCGGACACGTAAACCACCCCATAAAAGTATAAATTATATTATTTTATTCTCTAGCGAGTAGCTGGTAGTTTTGTTTTTTAGTTTATTTAATGTTTTAGTTTACCTTAATTTGTTACTGTACTAGTATACACTAAGATATAAATCAGGAATTAAGAATAAAAAATGTATACAAATCAAACGATATAGTATGCTCAGACTTCGTTTTCCCACAAAACCAAGAACTTTACATTATTATCTTGTACACAATTACAGTGATATATTTAATCATTAATTACCTATTATTTTTTATATTAAGTATAAAATATTATCTCTGTTTTCTATAGTTAGAATATTAAAAAACAATACTTTCTATAAACCTATAAAAATTAGTATCTACAGTATATTGTCGCTTAAAAATATAAATTGAAAGAAACTGTTATAATTAAATAGGAATATTTCATATTAATGTAAGCTTGGATATTAAATATATAAATTATTATTGTTATAAGAATGAAATACCAATGCAAAACTTATTTTTGCATTTATGTATATATCGTGTTAAAAACTTTTGAAATATAATTAATATGAAGGAAATTAAAAAAAAAAAGTTACTATAGTAAACCAATTCTTCTAAATATGTATTCAAGGAATAATTTTATTACTTCACCTTATAAGCTGTAGGTATTAAAATATTATAAAATTTAAACTTCTTTTAATAAAAATCAACTGAACAATAACTAAATTACTACGTAATATTTATATAATTCGAAACAATGTATACATTTTATATGGTTTTTACTTTTTTTAAGACTATATAAATTTAGTATATATTATTAATCTTGATTATTTTTGTTTACATTGGTAAACGTAAAACAAATTTAGACTTCGAATCATATACATGATAGTACATTTTAGGATTCGTACTAAGTATTCAACAAAATTATTAAATATATAACTTATGTTCCATTAGTTTTACTACTTTAATCAATCTTTTGTACTTTTAACTCATCTTTGTACACCATACGATTATATATCAAATGTAAAATATTTAATGTGTGGAATAAAGATAATAGTCCAAGTTAGGTGAAAAAAAAATAAACCGTACCATTTAAAATAATTTTAAAAATACAATATTATTTTTATTTGCTTGTAAATTATATAACTCATAAACGCACTTTTAAATATAGTATTTAAAATACAGTAATATTATGAATGCGTTATTTACTTAGGAACTATTATAACGTATTTATAGTTCTAAAATTTAAAAAGGTAATTTAAGGATATTTATTAAATAAATCATTTTTTTTAATACGTTTTACGTCATACCAATTCATATAATTTTATAGTATTAAACGTTAAGCTTTTTTGATTATGTTGCAAAGTTTTGATTAAACGCCTACTTAATTAGAAATTTGTCTTGTATCCAGAATAAAAATTAAAAAAAAATTATACGCATACCTACATGGTTCTTAGAATTACTTAAAAACCTAATATTCAATATAATACCACAACATATGCTTTCGATTGGTATTTAATCCAGACAATAATCAATTGATATTAAAAATGTACATTTCCATAAGTTTTAATACTATCGAATAAATCATTAGTTATGTTTAATTTCTTTGTTTTTTTTTTTTTTTTTTTTTTTTTTTTTTAATATTTTAATTACCATTTAAAAATATTTCTTCTACAATTAAAACATATCGTTACAATTTATTTATTATGAAAAAAGTAATTAGTTTAATATTATATTACCTTATAAACTTTGAACCTAGATAACTTGACGAATTAATTTTTAATATTTAATAAACTGTTTCCATTAATAAAATAAAAAATTCTTATGTCTATTAAGTATTTTGTTGTATGATATTGTAATGACTGAACATCAAAATATACCACTATATCAACACATTATAGCATATGAAGCCAGTATTTAAATGTAGTTAAAAACTTTAGTATTTATATAAAGAGCAATAATATTTAATAAATTTATGAAAATGCAAAATTGGAATTTCAAAATGTTTGATTCTATACAACACCTACATATAGCATATTATAATATAATATCAATACATTATTTTTTTATAAAATTTAAATTTCATAAATAATAAATAACACGTTTGATAGTATTCAAAAGATACAGAATTATTATAAACCTTAATGAAAATAAATATTTGTTTATTTATTTTATTGAAATTTTAAAAGTTTAAAAACTCAATGCACGAAATACATTAATAATTTTATGAGATGTTCTGAAAGGGTTTTTATTCGTTTAAATTTGTATTCGTATTAAAAAAAATATCTTTTATTTTTAATTATGTATATTTACTTAATCTAAATTCAAGTATAAATATAAATTATTTTTATTTAGATTTCAGTTTTCAAATTGTTGTCTTTAAAATTAGTTAAAATATTTAATGAAAACATCACCACGTGGTATTTTACAGTCTTCTGTATTCCTTTATGTTTTTGAATAAATTAACTTCATAAATATTTACTGATTATAAAAACTATTTATTATGACTATCAAGATATTCCAAAATCTACAACTATTGTAGCACAAGGCATAATCATGTACACTACTAAATGATTAACACATTTGATATAAACGGATATATATAGATACAATAATAAATCGGATACTATTAAATGTATTGATAAAATATATAGAAATTATAGAAATAATATTAAAGTGTCGATATAAAGTAATATTTCTTATATTAATATTTTATAAATTCAAATTTTATATTGTTTCAAATAACAGATTGTAAATATATTTTAATAATAAAAAAAAAAAAGTTCAAATTTTATATTAATAAGTTATATCGATACCATCTTGTTTAAATATGATTAATTTAATGTTAATGAATTTCTGTTAATGCGATTCACTTAATAAATAAATTATATAAACCTTCGTTATTATACCAAAATAGCCTTAGAAATTTATATTACAATACACTGTATCACACTGTGTATTTTAATTGTCAAATCTGTATATTATGATCAGTGTTATATTATATCTATGTAAAACTCATATTTAAATTTGTATTGTATTGTAACTCTCTATCTCCGACACAAGCAGAGCTTATAGGAGATAGATAAACCAATTTAGGCTTATGTGTTTCTTATTTTAACATTATAAAATAAAGGTTATTTTTAAATGCAATAAAATACACGTGAAATGTGTAAATAAATTTTAAATCACTTATAAAATAATCTAATAGAGACATTCAAACACCGATATATTTTTGATTCTACGTTAAACAAATTGCATTACGCTTTATCGTTTATGTCGATCAAATGTTTCATTCAAATGTAAACTATTTGATAATAATATTGAACAAAATTAAGACATATGTTTTTATTATTTGTATAATACAGTCTACAAAACGTAATGTTCAATGCATAGGTACCGTCATAAAAATTAAAATGAACCGATATCAGACCATCGGTAAGCTACACTGAAAGTACATAATACAAAAACGTATATGGGTTAGAATAATGAAAAAAAGTTTAATTTTGAAATTGAACATAGTATTTTTGTATTAAAATCGTTGAAGCTTGAACGTTTCTCTAACAGAAAACAACGTATTGGTTATTAACCAATGTCCAACAACCATATTATTATATTGTGTAGCCATATAGACGCATTTTAAAATTAAAATAAAATATATAGATTAATTTTTGTCACAAAATAAAATAAATTAACATAAAATAGCGAACAAAGTTGATATTTATAAATAGTATCATTTAAGATAATTCAATTTATAGAATTTATCTATATTATTATACAGATAATAATAGTTATCATTATATTGTGTCATTGCACAATACTATTTCTTGTAAAACATATTAATTAATCGTTGTTTGAAGTGTTTTTTTTTTTAATCAAATTTTTAATTTTAAGTTTTACCTTCCTTACTTAGAAGTTTTCTTTTTTAAACTTTAATAATTACATGGTTAATTTTCAGCGTAGGAGGATCATTTACTGTAATATATGTTAGCTAACCACAGTAGATGACTAAATACTTATCGAGTACTTGTTAATAATAAAGTAAATGGCTATTTCCTTCTTAATTATCTTGAGAGATTTATTATTCATTTATATAATATAATATGTATAATATGAGTTGGTGGATATTACTTCACACTACAAGATAACTTATCAAATATTTACGGAAACGTAATCAAACACCACTCTACATTTATAATTTACAAATAATACATTTTTAATTTTTAATTATATTCTAAAATTATTTTGACGATTTCCCAATATCATTTAAAAATGAAAAAAAAAAACAATTTTTGTCCGCGGTACGTGCGCTAGATGCAGATAATGATAAATATCATCCTATTTCCACATAAAATCAATAATATTAGTAAAATAATGGTATTTCAGTGAATAATATTAATGATCTAATAATATGATAACATGATTTCATGTTTAAAATGCCGATTATCTATAATCTGTTTCCATCCTCTAGAGCAGGGATTACCGATCTCTTCTATCCTACGCCCCCTTTTTAGATTTTTAAAAATTTCGAGTCCCATTCTTACAAGTTGAAAAAAATGATCACCTTTTTTATATACTTAACAAATAAACTATTCAATGCTCGAAATGACAACTTTTTTATCGATAAAAATAAATATAAAGTATCCGCCCCTTAGGTTCGGAAACACTGCTCAAGAGTTTTGGTTAATATAATATATTGGTGCAAGAATTTCTTATTTATTTTTTTTTATTTAACTTCAAGATTAATTGAAGGGAGTAAAAAATCACATTTTTATAATATTATCGTTAAGTTGTATATATTCAAATTTTTTTCTTTATTAGGTATATACTATATTTTACTAATTATAATATATGCGTACGTACATATAGGTTAATGTAAATATTCAAATACTGTAATGATATTTTACATAATTACAATTTAAGAGAGTATCATTTTTCGATTTTCGTTCAATGATAAAACTATAACTTAAAGATGTCTAGAAACACTAAAAATAAATTTTCTCTATTTTAATGTGTAACTTGGTCACAAAGCTATTTCAGTGATGTAACTTCAACTACTCCCGATTGTGACATTATTTCAGTTTGTTAATCGTACTTATACGTTATACAATACATACAGGTATAATACAGGTAATATATTTATTACTTGTGTAGGTATACAACGTATTTAGTATTAAGTTTTTTTCATAAAATACCAGCATATACGTTTCCATTTTATTTTGGCAGCTTTAAAATATATTCTACTTAGATTTAAGATTTAAACATGCTACAGTTACTACTGTTTAATACAATTGTTGAATTTAAGGTATTTTACTATATCGAACGAAATCTCCCTATCCGGCTGTCTACTTTTTTATTTAGACAATTTATAATATATTTTTTTTGATTAATTTTAAACAATATAATACTATTCGGTAAAATAGTATTATATAGACACTGTGATGGTAAATATTTAATTAAATAAGGCTATGCAACATTAATATTATTCATGTTTAGTTGTTTCTAAGAAAATTTCCGGAATATCGAGTATAATCATACTTAAATTGTTTAACGTTAAATTGGATACGTTATTGAGTAATATAACATCAATAATAATTTAACATTATCTAAATTAATAACCTTTAAACTTGGTCCAGTCACTATTTTAATATATATATATATATATTTTTTTTGTTTGCAGTTAAAATATAATGTCGATCGTCGACGCACTTGCATGTTTCAGAAAAATAAATAAAATGCAATGGACATTTTTTGATTTCAGTTAACTGCAATACATTAAACCAATATGACGGTTTACTGAAGAATATTTGTAATTTCCGGAGCACAAGAGTGCGATCTAAACATGCAATAATGCTATAATCTATAATTACATTAATTATAATAATTATTTTTTTGAGCTTTATTTTACCTAACTTTTATTTTTATTCTTAATAGCTTTTAACAGATTTTAATTAAATTAACGTAAATTTAATTTTATATAAGTAATTTGGAATTTTTAAAATATTTATTTAAAATATGAATCGTATAATATTTTTTTTTAATACTATGCCAAATGTTAATATAATATTCGAATGTTTCATTTTGATATTTTGAGAGTGCAGTTATATTATAATAAATAATAATGATATTTATATAGTGCACTTTAATACTAACAAGTAGCAACGGTAATAAAAAAATTGGAAATCGTCTTTGCGTGAAAAGCACTCTAACGGAACCGCATATTATGACGAAAATTGAAAATTGCAATAATATAATAATATGACACACTGTGTCAGTGTTAACCAACACCCTCACACAGCGGGATTTTTACGATTATTGAACGTAAAGTGTATACTCACATTTTCGTTTTCGCCGTAATTTCTGCGAAGACCACCTTCGGCGATCACCTCCAATAGATTCTCTAAATCTGTCTTCTCGCCCGCCGGTCTGGGTAGCACAAACTCTCTCTGTCCTCCATCCGCCATGGGTAGTGATGGAGCGGTCGCAGTACTCGTACCGGCGACCGTGGTAGTGGTCGATGTGGTCATTGTTGTCGCCGTGGCTGTCGTATTGGTTACACTGTTGTTAGATTTGAGCTCTTGCAACTGCCGCACGTCGTCGTTGTCCAAAGTCGATGATAATGATGACGATGGTAGAGATGATAATGGTGACACCTGCTGGACTCTACCGAACGAAGACCTCTTGATAAGTGGCGATCCGTTCGCCCACTGCTTGTAGAAATTTCCGCGTTGTGCGGTCTGCATTGGCGACGACAGCGCAGAGTAAGATGATGAAGGCGGTGCTGGCGGCGGTGGAGTTGTTTGTTCGTCTACCGATTTATAATGCTGTTTCAGCAGGTGCTGTTGATTCTGTAACTTCTGCTTCTGCTGTTGCTGTTGTTGTAGCTTCAGAAATATTGGCGGCAAGTGCTGGTATAACAACGAAGTGGCGGATCCATAGTCCAACGGCGACTGATGCTGACGGTCCCGGTCCAGACGTTGTCCGGCAGTGTCGTCGGTTTGCTGCATGTCATCCAAGTCGCCGTTTATCAGAGATTCCCAAAAATCATACAGCTGCCGTTCTTTGGGTGACTTGAACGCATTAGAGGGTGATACGAGATTCGCCATAAACACCTTTCGGTAATTATGTATCTTGTCAGTCATCGGATATCTCGAAGTGACAGGCTCGTACCTATTGATCGACGCTGCGGCCATTTGTCCGGTACGATCTCCAAACACATCGTCGACGTCGTCGTCGTCGTCGTCGTCGTCGCGGTCGCGGTCGCGGTCGTCATCGTCATCGTCGTACAACAAATCGTCGTCGACGACAACGCCACTGTCACCACCGGACGCGCCTAGACTAGCTACCGGATAGTAACCGTAACCGCCGTAACCGCCGTAACCGCCATAACCAGCGCCATAACTTGGGTACCTGACTACAGCGTAGTCTAACCGGTCGTACCGTCTAGGGCTGGGGTTGTACGCGACCGATCTAACTTCGCTGTCGTAATAGTCGTCTGGTGACAATGTTTGTCTACCGCCGCCCATTATCGCTCCGTATCGGGCCATCGACATTGGATAATGTCTCATCATGTTGCCGTATGACGACGATGCCCAACCGCCAGCCCGGTTAACTCCGTTCGCCCATGTCGGATTACCGTATCGATACTGTTTTTGGGTCAATTGCTGTTTTCCGTATCGGTTCATGTTATGCACTTGGGCCGTGGTCGGCCACGCTAGGCACGTTACCATAGTCGCCGCGATGACCACGTTTAAAGCAGTGAACAAGTTCATCTGTTACCGATAAAAAAAAAAAAAATGAATTATCAATTACGATTTGTTACTATATTGTCCATCGGTTGCTAAAGCACTGTAAGACACTAATTCATCTTTTGAGACAAGTTTTAAAATACCCATCGCGCCTCAAAAATTGATTTATAAAAGTAATTAAATAATATAAAATTGTTATAGTATAATATATATTTTTTTGAGTACCTATCTAAAGAAATCACACGTTTTATGGACTATACAAAAATATTAAAATAATGTAATATACACAAGATAGATTTATTTTTGTTTATATGTGTATAACTACACTTAGAATATTTATATTATTTTTGTTAAAGTTGTTAAATGTTAAGATTTTGTTAAGTCAATAGATAAACAATAGTTGATATTTTTAATATTTTTTAGTATAGGTGTTACTGTTTTAGTATAGTGAGTTTTTATAATATTAAAGGCTCTTGTTATCAAAATATTTGCAGAATATGTAAAGTAAATATTAACCCACATAGAGCTTAAAGTAAAACATAATAATTTTTTTAGCAAACAATTTAATTTAAATTGAACATGTTGTTACTGATCAATACAAAACGGTAATTTCAGGGACGCTCGGAAAGGAAGGCAGGTGATACTATATTGTCATACTGATCATTAATATGTAAATATTTCATATAAATTTACGATTAAGAGGTGTAAGGGGGACGCTAAGCCCCCCTACAGTTTATATTGACACTAAAAACATTTTACATCTAGTGAGCTACTACTTTTCTTCCGTATAAAATAATATCAAAAACCTAAAATACTCCTAAAAAAGATTCTTAATAACAACTTAAATTATATTCTAATGAGAAATTGTAATTTGTGCTAATTTATTATTAATATAGCAGTACAATATCCATGGACTTTTTCCAAATGTTTTTATTATAATATCAATATCAAAGTAACGTTTAATAAGTTGCTCAAATTACAGTTAAAAACATAAAACATAATAAATACAGATATTAGGTTTAATAGTTACTTAAAATTAATTATTGTTATGTTTAATATATTTAATAAAATAAGTTAGTGATGGCAGCGTTGGACCTCAATGGTCCCTTAAGCTGTATATGAAAAAAAATATATATTTAATACAAAAATATATTTTGAAGTTTATAAAATCAATACTTTTACTAAATTTAACTAAACGGATTTTCTATACTGACTTAAATTATGCGGGAAAATCGTTTACGATGACATTCGTTTGTCAAGTGTTCAGTTATAAAACACCGCTCTCAAGGCTTTTGTGACTGCTAAATGAGACTTTTTATTTATATTAAAATATTATCACTACTACAATATTAAGTTCAAACTATAATACGATAATTTAAACATGTATACTTTTATTTTATAATAATATAATTTTATTTTATTGTCTCATATAATATTATCAGTACGTATGTTGTAACAATCTATGAAGGTCAATAGTAATAATAATAATAATAGATGATAGGTATCTATTTGGGAAATACAAAAGCAATGACATAACCTTTCATAAAAACGGTAAAAATGGTAAAGAAAGCTTTATCGAAATAAAAATATGTTTAAATAGGTGCTGTAAAAATACTTTTGAGTAAATGTATATAATTAAGTGGTATGTTATTACTAATGAAAATTACTTACGGTTTGCTTTTTGGTTGTTATATTTTTTTTCGTAAATATTTTCGTCTTTCCTAGTCACCGTGTGAATATTTTTTTCTTACTAGTGGTATTGTGACTACGCCAGTGGCGGCGACGTGTCGTGTGCTCGGCGTTTGTTCCGGGACTGTCACGATCCGCCCGGCCGGGGTGAGGTTTTATAGGGGTCTGTCGCGACGCCCACGCGTCGCACTCTGAATGAAACCCTCCGTGCTGCCGACCCCGCCGCCGAGCGGTGGTCCAATACTCCGATCACTATTTACGCGTCTTCCTCCCGTGCCCGAACCACCGACAACTACCCCAATACCCGCCTTCTAACACTACCTATCCCTCTATCCACCGGGTGCCAATTGTGTTCCGCTGTCGTCGTTATTATCGTTATTACCTCCGCTTTTCCTAACAGGTCCCTAAAATCCATATATATATATATATATATATAATATATACGTGTATATTATCGAAATTCGTGTGCGTGCGCATTCCATTGGGAATAATGTGATAATCGTTACAGAGTTAGCTCGATAAAATAACGCGAAAACGTGTATCGGTTGGACCTTGAAAAATTAAAAATAATAAAAACTACTACAAAACAATACAATATACACCTACTAGTTTATATATTATTTGCATTATTCATGTACTACGTTGTATGCGTATATATAAATATTCAATATTTTTATAGTTTCTGACTGCTGTTACCGCTGTTTTTTCGCTTTTATTTCCCGTATATACACGTCTTTGTTTTGTTGTCAGAAATAAAATTAATTTCTTTAATATTATATTTCTTTCTTTATTATAATAAATAATTTTTCTATATCTATAACTTATAATTATGTAGAGCCACAGAATCGTTTCTAAATGAGAAATGATTCAACAAACTCTTGGTCTTATATTTCTAACACAACAGGTGCATTACATAAGTAATTAGATATAACTTGGAAATTGGAATTTGTCAAGACTAAATATTTCATATTCATTCATAGATTTTTTCTAAATGTAGGTATTCAGGATTTAAGAAAAGTGATATAAATATAAATAACTAAAAAAAGCATAAGCTTTACTCTTTAGCCATCAAAAATTATTTACACTCTCTCAAAATAAATACTTTTTACAACTGTGTAAAATATAATTCTTTAATTTAAACATAAATACGAGTTTAAAGTTATAAAATTAAAACGTCTGGTGGCTATGATTAAAAGTGGGCGGTAAGCTTTTAAATTAAATCTTTTAATTAAGTCTTTGGTACTTTAATTTTTCATTATTGTAACTAGTAAAACTAAAATAAAAAATGTAATAATTAATTCTATCTTATCGCAAAAAGATTATACCTATTAATGTTCTTAAATCAGGTAATCAGAGCAATTTTTATTTTATTATCAAGCTATATTTTGTAACATTAATAATACATGGTTTTGCAGAGAGACAACAATGTGTTATCAATTTTAGAATGATCTTCTATAAAAACTTCTTTTTTTTTTTTAATTTTTAACCTTCTATATTTTTATTTATTTTTTTTTTTTTACTGTCGACTTTATTTTGACGTATGACGATTCTTGTTAATTTTTAAAGAAGATTTTCATATTTACATGTCAACTGTTACAGCGAAATATACGATTGACTTGCTTGCGCTAGATATGTCTAGTTAAGCATTAAATCCAATTTACATCAAAAATAATGAGCACATATATACGACATTCATGAATGTATTATATTACATATATATAATGTAAGTATATGTTATAAATAGCAAACAACAACGATCGATAAAGTATAACTTTATACTTTGTAATATGCACGCATATAATTTATATAATTAAATTATAGAGATATATTATAATAGTCTGTAAATCTATGATTTGGGTTATTTTTATTCTTTGTATAGCATTAGTATACCTTGTACTTATATTAATTGTATATATCATCATTTCGTGTGGCTTTAAATTTTATTTATACATTATGGTTCATTTTATCGAACGATTTTAATAATCTATTTTAGTTTTACAACAATTTTCTATTTGTTTTTCAACGAAATTTTTTTTTAATCGATAAAGTTTTGTAAATAAAAGCATGCATTCTGAAAACGTATTAATAAATATAAAATTGTATTTTTTTTTTTTTTTTGTAATTTCTCAAATTAAACCGGAAACACTGGAAGTCATTTACCTATATAATAATAGATACCTAAATCATTACATACGAAAAGCAATATTGAGTAAAGACGATATTTTGCTACCCTCTATTTCTATTTTTTAAGGATAATTTATAATTTATTTATATGACTATTTTTAATACAGTTAGACGTAGATTGAATCAATCTTTTAAAAAAACATCACATATTAAATGACATCATAATTTATAATTTATAATATTGTTTTTAACTTAAAAGTCAATACTTTTGTACAAGTACAGATGAACAGTATAACGGTGTAAATGACAATGGTTCGCGGTATAAATAAATAATTATTCGAGACATTTTGATTTAATTTAAAATGTATAAAAAATCAAGATATATGTACTTATGTAATGATAAAATATTTCAAATTTCTATGATTAATTGTTTTCGAATCACGATAAAATAATTAAGATTTCTATAAATAATTAAATCATATTTTTTTTTATTCAAATATCTAGTTTCGTCAATTATTAAGTATTAAAATGAAACACAATGTTGTTTCAGCAACCTCTAATGATCTCCGTATCATTGCAGTATAATAAGTACGGTACTAACGACGATTTTTTAACTGCGATATTTTCCATTGGTCATTCAAACCGTGTTAACAGTACATTTTTTCGTGTTGTGTTTGTGTATACTTAAAGGGTAAGTAAGTAAAGGGTAGATAAAAATATTGTTATTTGTTAGTACTTACTACTCGGTAACACATATTACCCACGCGTACATTATTATAATATTCAACTCTACATGACTTGATTATGATATACTTAGTCACACTACATCAGATCTGCTGATTCAGTCATACGATTCGCGACAACACTACGACAGTCGTCGCCGTTCTAAATCCGTTGATTTTCGATCGAACAGTTTTAACGTTGTCTTCCACAATTGTGCACATGGTGATGTCTGGTGGGTCGAAACTTCATAATACATATATTCATATATCCATGGTGAAACTAGTTTTGAACGATCGTCCGTGTCATCTATAACTATACGAAATAAATACATATTATACAGTACCAGAGTTAACACTTTCGAGTACTGACGTCGACGCATCGTCGAGAAATCGTATTTGTACTAAGCGGTGAACGTCGACAATACGTCAACATCCTGTACATTATTTCCTAATCGGTCTCAATAATACCAGCCTACAACAAGTTAACAATAGGGAATTTTCATAACTGTTCAACATGTCATTGTAAAAACTTATTACCTGTATATTGTTTATACAAATTACGACTTATCACCGATTGAATTGTTTTGTTTTTTTTTTCTAGAGCCTTTTCTTGAATCAAATAATATTGTTAGCAGTTTACTGTTAACCGAGCTAAATTAAAATCATGTATAAACGTATCATAATAATTAACCCAATTTGATAAGAATTTAATAGAATAATTATTATTTACGACGATACAAAAATAATTTAAAGGATACAATCTTTTTTTGAATTAAATCAAATAGGTGTACAATTATGATACATAAATGTCTGTGAGAACTCACGTATTTTTGGTATTGACCAATTATTCATTTAGAACTGACCATATTAATTAGAACTACCCATTAGCATGAAATCTGAGTTATAGGTATAATGTAGTTTTGATTTTTTATTATTTTTAAAATTGCGTCGATAGAGCACACCGAACTGTTCAACTTTTATAGTTATGTAGTGAGATCTACCGGATTACTTTGTAACGTGTTTTGCTTTTTCCGTTTTCGAGATTAATTATTCACAGTATTATAATATACGTCTTTAACAAGGGGAATTATAAAATAATATATTCATATTATATTCTTTGTTTACTTCTTCAGTACCAAACAACCAATGTTAAAAAATGACGATTTAAATCATGGATTATACTTAATACTGTAATACTTTACTTTAATAAAAATTGTATGCTGACATAGATATTGCTGTATAGAGTTTTATGACTATTAAACAGGCCTTAATTATCCAAAATCAGTAATATTACTTAGATGACTTGATTGTTTTGATATTGAGAGATGTAGAGGATAATAAAGTTACATACATACATGTATTGTATTTTTTTGGTACAATTGGTGCAAGCCTGTGTAATCTTAACAAATGATTAGTTTTCAATTAAAACATTGAAATTACAATATAATATATTTAAGTAACTTATTCGTAATCAGGGACTCGAATTCTGTAAAACTTGTCAGTTATTATCGAATAGAAATAAAAATAGTAGGATAAGTTATGCATTTGTTATAATATTATGCATTAAAGATTCAAAATAAAATATTGTGTATTCCATATTATTGCATAATTTTGCATATTTTTGCATATCATAAGTATTTTAGATTTCTACTGTTGTTTTTCTTAGTTTGATGCTTTTTTATTTACTTACATACATCAAACTTAATTTATTTTGTGTTTTTCATAAATCTTTGTTATTTGAATGAAAAACAGTAGAAAAATGCTACGAAAATAGATAATAAAAATACCCATAATTTGTTGCGTTAAATCAATGTCTTAATTCAAATTTTTTTAGCTTTTTATTTTTATCTTTTTATTAATCTAAAAAAAAAAAATAAGTGAATTTTTCGTGTTTTTATGGCATATTATAGCGCATATATTTTAAGATTTTTTTAGTTGATATTATGGCGTATATTTTAGTACACTTACTTCATACAATGCTGTAAAATCCTAGTCTTAGTAGTTAGAAAAAATATTAAACACAGCAACCGTACTTTATATTATATAATAATATTACTATAAATTCGCATTAATAATAAAGTTTAACAGGTGATTAAGATTTATTGTTCTTAAACTCATTTAAGTATATTCTACCTGTACAATATACTCTTAAATTATGTGACAACAATACTTAATTAACATTTATTTGCAAATAGGTACGATACAAATAAAATAAAAATCTTCAATTAATATTTCACACAAAAAATATCTCATCACCTACCTACTATCTAAATTTAATCATTTATATTTTTCATCATTTATCAATGACTTACTCAATTATTATTCAAACACATTTTTAAAGTCTTTACCTAAGCATTTATTTTTAGTGTGTACATTAATTAGATATTAAATATCAAATACAAATATAGTTTTCATCTGCAGATTTTTATTTTTATTTTTTATAAAGTTGATCGTAAACATTAGATATTCCAGGTATTTTTTATTACCTATTCGAAATATTATATTAATATATATAAACATATCAAATTTAAGGCGTAACTAAAATTATTTACATACCTAAAATATATACGTAAATTTAACTTTGTTTTAATAGTGTCACTGTGACCTTTCCATCACGTCATCAAGTTTTTTATTTGTTTCTTGTTGTAATCTCTAAATTTATTTAAATCACTTTTAATTTTACTAGTTGTAAATGCTCTATTTATTTATGTTAATGAAAAAAATAAAAAAATACCGTACTCCAGACATAAAAATGAAACTATTCAAATGTTCATAAATCATGTATCGATAAGTTTTTTTCTTTAATTTTAATATTCCTAACAAAATTTAAGACTGCTTATATTTTATTACCTCGCACAATAATTTGTACATTGAATCAATCTAAATGAGAAACGTTATCAAATGGTTAATTTTTTTTTAAATAACAATTTATATGTTATAGTAATGATAATCATAATTCATAGTAATAATAACAATATTGTATGCGCGCGTGTTTATTAAGATTTTTACTCCCACCGTTATTATCGTACAGTAGTCACCGTTACGCAACATGACGGTCATTCGGAGACGGTTGGAAATTTATAGTTGTTTAGATCAGTATTCCATCGGCTATTATAACCGGCTGTTTGCAGTGTCGTTTATCTTATATTTTTGTTTAGCTAAACGGGCGGACGATGAGGTTCGCTCTTTCAACAGCATACTGCAACAGCAACACTGTAAGTATATAATACTATAATTACGAAAAATAATTAAATACTATTGCTTATGTACGTTAAATAGATACTTAATTCCAAATGTATTAAAAATGTGATCTTGAAAAAACTTAGGTACCTTATGAATGATAAAAAAATATATAAGGACACAATTCATCATATTTATTACTTGTGCACACTATTTCAAGCTAATTTATATTATTAAATTAAAGATGTGTTTCACGAGTATTTTGTGCTACCACATAGACAATTGAAATATTCATTAGTCGTTTATTTCATAATATTTTACAAAGAAATACAGTACCATCTATAATAATCTTTTTAAGCTTGGTATTTACTCTAATTTTTAGCTTAATTGTAAATACTACGCATTCTTATGTTAAAGGTGACAAAAAATTTAAAAAATCATATTTTCTAATATATTTTAGCTAATTATAAATGATTACCATATACTGTCTCCAATATCTATTCAAAATTTGTTAATAAATACGTATTTAAATACTTGTACTCGGATTTTCAATATTTTTCAAGATTATACAATACTTAATATAAGTATATATTATAACATTATGATATAGTTAAATTAAAATACAATGTTTTATTCATTTTTCATATTATATTATTATTATAGCATTTTTATTTCGTATTATTTGATCTGTATTGAATAGTAGTTTAATTAAATTTTGCATTATACTTACAATATATAGATTTTATTATATGTAGGTACAGCAGATAATATTCAAAATGATTTAATTCATTTATTTTATAGTAATAAAAATAAAATAAAAAACAGGAAATTTTATTTTTAGTAAATTTTTAATCATTTAAACATGTAGTAACTTAAAATTAATAAGAAATCATAAAATTAATAGTTAATGAATCATTATTAACTAAGTTAAGTATAAATGATGACCAATGACCAACGAATAAGACTTTTAACAAGCACCTATCATAACACTTGTATTTTTTGTTTAAAACAATTGCATACAATTAAATTGTATGAAAAAATGTCATATACAGCGTGTTCAAGTAATATATTATTGTAATACACAAATTTAATTCGCATCGCTCATACTACTTGTACAATATATCATATTTCTATACTGGGAAAATCACGATATAATTTTGCTTTTATTTACTTCTAAAATTTTCATTCTCATTTTTAGATGCAACTGTTGAAGTTGTTAACATTGTTGTTGTTTGCGGCAAGATCGTCCAGTGAGGGACAGAAGCTATTAGTGAAACCATTGAGTATATTGGCGTTTTTGCCAACTGAAGGTAAAAGTCATTTCATGGGCTTTAAACCGTTACTCGAAACTCTTGTTTCCAGAGGACATAATGTCACACTGGTTTCACCATTTGCGCTAGACGGCGCCAAACTGCCGTATCGTCACGTCAAAGTGGAAAAGACGTTGGGAGGTAATTTAAAAAAAATCTATATCTGTATTGTTTAAATATGTGTTTTTATTAATAAAATAAGCGTAAGTTGTGCTTTGTTTCATAAACTTATTATTATTTTTATTTTTTACAAAAAAAAAAAAAAAAAAAACACACAATTGTGAACATTTTGAAAACCTGTTAAAAGTATATTGTGTTATTATTATTATGACTTAAATTGTAACTTATATTATCGTCAATTGTGGTCATTTATAAGTTAGTCACAAGTTTCATTTCTGTTTTAAAAACAAACGACACTGTCGATTTTCATAAAATAAATACTTTTTTATTATTCAACTTTTTAGATTTTAATATTTTGAGTTATATTGGTTTATTAATTGTGTTAAGTATTATTTTACTGTTATTTGATATTTTGCACGTGTATTAAGTATATTGTATATTATAAGCACATAGAACAATACTATTTATGTTCCTTTATCTTTATGTATTTTTCTCGTTATGAACTGAGTGAGAAATATAATATACAAATATTGAATATTTTACGTTGGTTTTTAGAAAATGTTTTACAATTATACATACAGTTTTGAATTTTCTCGGTTTTCACACTGCTTATTGTGTATACTATAGAATCTCTTCGTGTATCAATACAAGTATTTTTTACTTGAAGGTGTGTATTAAATCGACATGCGGTATAATTCACACGTTTTAATGTATTTCCAGTCGGTATTATGGAATTTTCGATTATAAGTGGGTTATAGTATGGTTATAATTTGCAAGTGTTATGTATTGAGAATTTATTTGTAATATCATGAGGTTATCTCAAGTATTATTGAAATTTTAAGGTGAATATGTATAGTGGGATAGGTATTTAACATACTAAGAAGTCTTAGCGATGAGACGAAAACATATTGATTGAAGGGAATAAAAAATACTGATGTTTTATAGTTTAGCTACACTTCATAATTCTTTATAGAAAAGAAAAGTTTGGTAATAAGTAGCATATTAGATTTAATAAGGTATCAGAGTTATCAATAATTCTTATGTTAAGGGATTTTCTATTTTAATTTTATGTGGTCAATCCATTATGTGAGATTTTTTTGTCAAGATAAATACTTATAGGTACCTACCTGTTATTATTTTTTGGAAAATTATGTTATTTTTTACTTGTTTATTTTATATTTGACACTATGCGGCAGTTACAAATAAAATGTAGGTACAATTTATAACGAATAGTAAGTGAAGAGGTTAAGACAGTAAGTGTATAAGAGGAAAAATAGTAGAAAAGCGTAAGCAAGCATGGAGAATTATTTAATTGAGTAATACGTAAATAAAGTAAATTATAGTGGACATACAATTAAAATAATTTGTTAAGCTAATAAAGCTTTGTGTGAATAGAGTGATTTTGTATATTACAGATGAGATAAGATGGAATGAAAAAAGTAAAAATAAAACTTTTAAACTTAAAGTAACACTGTAGGAAGAGATGGTAAATTATATCTAATAACATTTTGTTTGAATAATACATCGTCAAGACAAAAGTTCACCAACCTTTATATGAAAACAAAATGTGATTAATTTTCGTATTTTTTTGTTTTCAAGATATCGACATGATAAAAATAGCAAAATTCGTGAACCTCATACCCACGCCATTGCATTTGTGGTGGTTTGGGCCGTACATTAGCGATACAAGCTTGGATAAACCGTCGGTGGCAAACTTCATCAAGAACGACCGGACGTCATTTGACTTGGTGCTGTTCGAAAACTTCTATCATGAGAGTTTCGTTGCCATCGGACATAAGTACGGGGCGCCTGTGGTACAGCTTCTGCCATTCTCCGCCAACTCCAGAGTATCGCAGTGGCAAAGCAACCCGTACAACCCAGCCTACATTACGGACCTGGTCAGTGCGTTCGGATCCAACATGACGTTTGCACAGCGCACCACCAATGCAGTGTCTGCGTTCTTCTACACTGCCGTTTCCCGGCTAGTATACCTGCCACTGCAACGGAACGTTGTTAAAAAGCACTTTATTTACCCGGAACACGAAAACCGGCCCGACCTCGCCGACATGCTACGAAACATATCGCTAACACTAGTCAACAGTCACCCGGTCGTCGGTTCAGCCGTGCCAATGGTCCCCAGTTACGTGAACGTGGCTGGCATGCACTGTGTACCCGCCGGACCATTGCCCGAAGTAATGCTTTGATGATGATATCGTATTGTGTAGCCCAAACACTGCATTGCGTCATCGATTTCTTTGCTATTAATATTTTTTTAAATTTGAATCGAAATACAATTGAAAACGCCAATAATTTTGTCCAATATCCCCGCCATTAACTTTTAATTGTTTTTTATAGGTACTGGTCCTTAGTTTTTTCTTATTCCAAGATTTCGAGCTCGATTTTTTTACAAAAACCATCACTCTAGATTAGATATAAGGTTACTTAGATTAGACTATTTGAAAGTATTCCGGTCGTCGACAATTGTGTATAGTGTTGTTGTTTGCCAATGTTTAACTGCATTATATCATGAAATATTATCAGGTGCATCTTTTTTTTGACATTGAAAATTAATTCCTCATTTTCTGGTGCATTTTTCAGGACCTGAAGCAAATAATGGAAAGTTCTAAAGAAGGTGTAGTTTACTTCAGTTTGGGATCAGTGGTAAAATCATCCAAAATGCCCAAGGAAACAGTGACTCTATTACTGTCAGAGCTCTCGAAAATCGAACAGACCGTCCTATGGAAATGGGAAACGGAAGATATACCTCAACTACCTAAAAATGTCATCGTTCGAAAATGGTTTCCCCAAAACGACATACTAGGTACGTATTTAATATTCATATTATTGATTGTCTGTGCCCGTAAGAGTTTAGTAAGTAAAACATACCTACTGATTTCTCATTTGACGTAGCATACTCGTATGCCGTAAATACGTCAACAGAAATATTTTATTGTTTGTACTTTGTAGATAATTTGTACGTAAATATAGGTTAAGGTTATTTTTTCAACTTAAAAACTAATTAATTTAAAAAAATTACTATCAAATATATTTTATTAACACAAAAAAATGTCTAACACAACACACATACGTAAAGACACCTTTTTTAATAAAAAAAAAAAATCGTTTTTGTCCAGTTAAGTCTATATTTTTTTTAAAAGGAACTAAATTGACAGTTTTACAAAAAATATAAATTGCTCTGAATATATTTCACACTATTTCGACTTTCCGATATGAATTGATAAGTGTAAATATTTAAATTCTAAGTTAAATTTGTATTTATTGAGTATAACTGTTACTTACTATTGCATTTTGATAAATAATAATTATAAATTAAACACTCAGTTGCAAAAAATTTACCTTAATTATTGAATATAAATGTTTTAAAAATAACACTATTGTGTATAAAAGTTGTTTTATTATTTGTTTTTACTCTGTTAATATGAATTTAGATAAACAATAAATGTTATCGGGGAAAAAAAAATAGTTTTAATGATTATGATTTATGTTATACATTTAAAGAAAGGCGAGAGGAGAGTTCCAATAGACTTTAACACCGAAAAAATAGATAACAGGCACGTAGAATCACGTAACTGCCCGTGGTACTACAGATCGAAATTTTACAATATACCTAATTAATGCAAAAAATATAATATAATATTATGTATATTTTTTTAATCAACTAATTACTACTATTCATATATTTATATGTTATGAGTAAAGTTGAAAATAAGGAAATAAAGAAATGAATTAGGATACCTAGTTCTCAAATTATATATTATGTGGATAACGTATAAACGATTTGATTATAATAAATGATTTAGTTTTTATCATAATGATGACGAGTCAAAATGACTAAAATAGGTTAAATGGTTAAATAGGAATAGGTAGATTCTATTATTAAATAATATTAATTTTAAGTAAGTGTTATAGATATGATATTGAATTGATCACTGCTCAATTTTTTGATGACATAATTTTACGATATATTCAAACTTTAATACAAAAATTATTTGAAATTATGCTACCAATGTTAATTTCATTGAAAATATAAAACGAATTATTGAAAATGTTAGGAATTTTTTTTATCTTTAGCAGACTATAATTCGTCTGGATAATACTTTTTTTTTACTTAGGTCATCCAAACTGCAAGTTATTTATCACGCACGGTGGAGTACAAAGCACCACCGAGTCCATCTACCATGGAGTGCCCATGTTAGCCGTCCCCGTTTTTGGCGACCAAAAGGGTAATTCACTACGCGCACAGTACAGAGGTGTTGCTATACAAGTGCCATATTTCGATTTGACGCAGGAAGCGTTTGGCAGTGCACTGCACAAACTGCTTAACGACCCAGCGTGAGTATAAAATAAGTATAACACCGTGTATAAATATAAAAATATAATATAAAAAAACATATTTGTAACACTCAATGGTGTGGCTCCGAGGAAAAGCAATATTTATAGAACAAAAGTATAAGTTAAATGATAAAAAATTGCATTTTAATGGAAATGAACAGCAAAGTCCACTGACCCGGGGGCGGAGTGTGAAAAAATTTAGGCCAGTAAAATAAATTTCCTCCAGGCCATTCAACATTTTCATCTCTTGAGTAAAAACTTTATTTAATTTATGTATGTGATGAATTTTATATTTAAATGTAAATAGGTAAATAACGAATATAAAAATTCATAGCATAGGTATGTATTTTATTGATAAAACTATTAAAAAAAACTTTAAATTTAAAATCTAAAATAGGTAACTAAAATTTAATAATCTTAAAAAGTGTTTACAAAATATATGTTAATAATATGATCGGTTTTTAATCATAAATTATTATGACCAAAGATGTTTTCAGTACCCGATAAAAGTTTACGTAAGTATATTTTTTTTACAATAATATGAAATTAATTTCATACATTGTTTTCCACTTAGCATAAATAACTTTTTACTTTTTTTTCTCTCTTTTTCAGCACTACCTTTCTTTTTCTTATTATCACTCGTTTTGAAGAAACCCAGAAAATATTTAATATTGAAATAAATATAATATTTAAAAACAAAACTTTTTAAAATGTATGAAATATAAATGTAGGTAGTATAAAGGTACTCCACAAGACCATCATACTATATTCTGTTAAATAGATACTCTGATGACAAAATAATGGAAAAATGTATATTTGACATGAAAGTCGCGAGGCGATAAGGTATTATTATGTTGTAGAGTTTCGGCGAAAGTTATAAAAATAAATAATGTGTACTCTATTAACGTGGATTTATCGTATATACTATGCACGGGTTACGGAAAATCATATCGAATAGCCATCGCTTATCAGAATTCAAAATATAAAAAATAATATAAAAAGGGTTATTAATTAAATAGTTACTATGATTTCGTTTTCGTGTTAAAACGTTTCACATTACTCTACACTATTTTCATGTTTTTTTTTCTATACTTCAAGTCAACAGGCTATTTAGCTTCCAGGCCACCTGGATTTTTCCCGGTATCCCGGTGGGCCACTCCGCCCCTGGACTGATTTAACTAAAACTATAATTATTGGTAATTCATTTATAATTTATAAATATATAAATATTAATATATAATAGTATATAAATATTATTATATTATATATATATATATATATGGATAAATCGAAGATATTAAAAAAATAAAAATTATGTTATAATTGAAATATTAAATACATTACTTAAAGCATGGTAACAAATCAAAAATATAAATATTACATAGTATATAATAGCTATGTTTTTGTTTAACCAACACACGTGAAACAAAACAAAATATATATCTAGGTACATAAAAAGTAAATACATTTGAAATGTCTACAACATTATCATATCATTCATAATTTTGTGCATGTCATTTAATGTTTATTTTATTTCTCAGCATTTACTAACTCTAAACGAAAACACAATAGGTAACACATAGTGGAGAAGATAAGTTCCCCATAACCTATTAAACTCACCGTAAATACGTCTCTAACTATATATTTAATTCAAATATTTTAATAAAAAGTATTGCAATATTATCACAATCGTGGTTAATCTTTATCAGCTAAATGGTTGACGTAAACGCCGTCAACGATTATTTGCGTAATTTATTTGGTATTATAATATAGTGTTACATCGTCGCGCAATGTACGTAATTATCGTTGCAATTCCATTTCATTTACCATTTATTCGATTTTATTTTAATATCCTCAGCATTATACACGCGTATTTTACATGCAAATTAATAAATATTTAGTTTTACAATCTTGTGTGTATTAGGTAAAAGTTTTGGATAAAATAATTAATAAGATAGGTATATTAAAAAAACGTGATAAAGTTCTTTATTCTTAATAGAATGAAAATTCATCATACATAGTAGGTATTTACATTAATAATAGGTGGGATTTTTTAATTTTTCAACAAAACGTTTTGAAGAAAATATAATGTAAAATTTCTTTCTGTTATTTTTTAAGTGGTTTCGAGTTTAATTTAAAAGTTTCATTACCAAGTTTAACTTTATTTTTACTTCTCAAGGATCTAACTGAGAAACTTGTTCAGTTTATTTGTTTTAGTATTTTATAAATATGAGTACATTTGTTGGTCTGTAATTTTAGAAATACTTGAATATTACGTGGCTTTTAAAATTTAAATTGGATAAAATTTGAGCATTATATAGTAGGTATATATATTTATAAATTATAGTAACTATTATTGTACATACCTACATAGGTTATTATATACTATAAACGAGTCTATAGTTTTCTAAGTTTTCTATTAAGAATATCTGATGGATAAAAAAGTGATAATAAATTGTGAATTATTTCCGAAAATTTCAGCCGTCTAAACATATTCCACAATGTAGTAGGTACATTTACCAATAGCTCAGTTATGAAGTCTATTAACTGATACATTTTTAATTAATTTTTAAGTTTATAATTGCTATTAGGCTAAGTGTATGGCTAGCATAATATAGTGAATGATGAAAAAGAAATATTACCTGTTCATTACTACCATCATCATCATCCACTGAAATAACTCGAAAATGTAAAGTTTCTTCCGCTTCTAAATAGAAATAACAATAATAATAATTATTATTGTTGTTATTATTATTATAAATATTGATAAAAATAAAACTTTCACCATCAAAATCCATTTCATCCTTTGTGTGTTCTTGAATGTCATATTCAAACAACTATTTGAACGCTTTTTCAAAATTTGATCCATTATCTGTTACGGTTAAAACATATTGATCACAAAGAAGTGAAAACACATTTAAAATGTCCTGCAATAATTCAGCTGTACGACCGTATGAATGTTTACCATTCATTCGTTTGCATAAAGTACACAGTTGTTGCATTCTTATGTGTTTGCAGTTATTTAAAAAAAAAAAAAAAAAAAAAAAAAAAAAAACTAAGCACATTTAGTACGTAATTTAAAAACAAATAAATAAATTTTATGATAGATATTATTAAATTGGTAACCAGTGTACTGTGGCCTGTGACAGCCACACAATTTCGATGTTTTGTTGATCAAATATCCACGTGTAGATATAAATGTTCGTGATTGAGTTTTAAATACATTTTTAATTTTTTTTATAACTTTTATAATATCACTGTTGATCCGAGGACTTATGTTTTGTGTTTTTCTCAAGTCATTGTTTATGCTTAAATATCTTAAATTAGCACTATTGACAAAAATTAAAACCGATTAAAAACAAAACTTTTAAAAATATTTGTAGTTTTAACTTGATGAATTATTTTTAATTCAACTGGAACAAACTAATTTATTTCATCAACCAATTCAACTATTTAATTTAAAAGATTTAAAAGAATTAAAATTAAAAATTTTAATTAATGTATGTCGCTAGTTTGCTACCTTTGGATAATTTTATTCAATATTTCTAAATCGATATATGTACCTAATAATTATTTCTCTGTATAGCATTTTTATAAAGTAAAAATTTATACTAATTTAATATGCATAATAAAAGTATATCATACCATTTGTTTAACTTGGTAGGTACCTGGAAAACGCCAAAAAGTCATCCGTCTTGTTCAGAGACAATCCACTGCCACCACTAGAAAATGCTGTGTTTTGGATCGAGTATGTGGTCAGACATGGCGGTGCAAAACATCTGCGGACTGCCGCCAACGACCTTTATTGGTTCCAATACTTGCTTTTGGACGTCTTGTTACTGGTGTCGATCGTAATCGTATTGACGTCGTGGATGATCAAAAAAATGCTTTACTGCGTATTTGGCCGGTGTTGTCGCCGTGGTCGAAATGTTACCTCGCCGCCAACAACGGGGAAAAAAACACAATAATATAACAACAATAATAATTGCAACCGCAGCCCAATATACAGTCGACTATCATTTTGCTCAAAATCCATATTATGCAATGATAAAAAAATCATGAAGTTAAAAAATCAATATAATATTATTTTTAATTCAAATCTGAAAAAAACTAATATTAATTTAAATTAAAATCAAAATATTTAATTCCTATTCCGAGTCCCGATTGTTATTTGCTAGGAATTTCCACGAAACCGGGAACGTTTTTTTATTACGTTTATTACTCTTACACGAAATAATACATAATATTATTATAAATTATAATAGATTATAAGTTAATTAGATTACATTACGAATCGCGATAAACAATATTTACCATCAATATTCCTATATTTGAGCGCGGAGCACACATATGATTACATAATCCGATAGTCGCACCTAGTCGCCAATATGCCTACATGAAACTTTAATACCTTTCTAGTTAATAATTGTTATCGATCAGTTTATTGAATTTTGTACATATTATATAGGTATATAAACTGTTTATGTATTGAATTTCAGTTACGTGAAAAACGTTTAAAAGCAAAAAAAAAACAAAATTAAACACAACTCTATTTTACAATAATAATTAATACTTTATTATTAATTATTATACACGAATCTGTCTTGCAGTAAATACTAAATAATAATAATAATAATAATAATAATAATAATATAATGAACCATAATGTAGATGGTATTGCTCACAATAATTACATTATACAGAAAATAATTTAATATTTCGGTAAGTAATAAAAATATGTACCATATACGTATATATTATGCAAATTTACTATGAGAAATATTATTTATTTTACCTTGATTATCAATATATTTGCAATAAATAAAAAATATATTTACTTAAATAAATGCTGTAGTATCATTGCATTGTTTTTAAATATTTCTCGGAGGATCGTACACGCTTGACGCTTAACCGTTGCACTTAGATGACTAGACATATGAAATCAAAAAATCACGACAAAATTTTCTAAAATTTGTTTCTTTCGATGGTTATTTTTAAATATTTATTCGTTTATCAATTCGTAAAAAGTGATGAATGACGACTGAAAAACATTTTCTTATAACCTCCCAAAAACATTCAATATATTTAATGTCAATTCAAAATGACTAAAATCTTCTTAAATAATATCGTAACACAATCAATTATAAATATTTAGTCGTTTGAAAAATAAACAATATAAAGATAGAACATGGGTGGTAGGTACCTATTATAATTGGCTCAATGCGTGTACGGTACCTAATATAGATTATAAATATAAGTGTAATATGTATAACATAGGTATACTAATAATAAGTAATTATTACTAATTAAATTGTCATATATTTTTGTATTTATGTATAATTAATACATTTAGTTGATAGATTAATATATATTTATTCGGATGAATAAGATCAGTTAACAAATATTCACTTAATAATTTCTGAAATCACGTCTTCGTAAATTTAATTTAATCTCCAATTATTATAATTTTTAAGCAACTATATTGAAGTTTTTCTTTAAAAAAAAAAAAGTAGATAAATACACAATGTTTTTAATTGTATTACCTATTAAAATAAGAGGATGTACCTACATCTTAGATACCTATTTTGGGTCTCAACGTATTAAGTTAGATATATATATATATATATATATATATATATATATATATATATATACATATAGTTTGTCCATTTGTTATGGTTATTTTATTTACTGTAATATTATTATATTAATAAAACTAAATAAATAATTTTATACAAATTGCAATATATTTATGAAGTATAAGGTTATGCACTTCTACAAAATTAATACTGTCATATGGTCGTAATTAAAAAATGCATTTTTCACTTTTACAAACCACAAGTAATAACAATGTTATACATGTACCTACGTTTTAAGGTGTTTTTTCCTATTTTATATTTAAAATGTCAAATAAGTCGAAACAAGAAGAAAAATATTTTTAATGATTTTCTATTAATCTATTTTCGTAAGTATTATTAACATTTTGTTACTACCTACATTATACTATTTTAGATGTTTGAGATTCCTGTGAAATCTAAATAATTATGATTTGGCAGATCGTATTTTTTAAGATTTTTTTATTAATAATTTTGACGTTACTAATTTCTGTTGGTTAATAATTATTTATAAGCATACCAAATAAACGCTCAATTGGTGTTCATACACTTAATAAAGATACAATATTAAACAATAATTTACATTTTACAATCGTGTTCATTTCAGTTACATACTAACATTCCTGCACTATTAAATACATAATACTTTTATAACATGTTGATCATTGTGTATTTATTCTTTATACGAATCAAAGTAAAACAATAAGTCCATAAGATCATAACACATAAATAAACGATATTTTGTAACTAATATTTTACAAGTAAATCAGTAGAAAACTTGTATGTGCCACGTATAGTTTGTTTAGAACTCGAAAATAATAATTGCAGAAAATAATACGTTTATAATAAACTTTTAAATGAATCCAAAGTACAAGTTGTATAGTCATATTGGTATGTGTATAATATTATATAATAATATAAAATACCTACACACTTAGGTAAGTCTATAAAACAACAAGGATAAGATTATAGTTCAAAGTTCAAACAATTCAAATTTATTTAGTACCAATAAATTATAATATTATTTTATATGTACCTATTCAACTATAACTGTAAAATAATATATTTTCACCATAATATTTATGAATAACTCTAATCGTGTAAAATTTATTATCATTGTTCTTACTTTATATAAGTACTAGAACCGGTGAACCCTAGGTTGGTGAAAATCGCTGCAAGTGAATACCCTAGGCCGGAAACAGAACTTGAAAAAAACTTGAGAAACTCGTAGTATATATTTACTATATACCTATTATATAGTAAATTGAAATACATTTCCAGTCAATAAAAATTAGTATTACTATGCTAAGTATAGGTAATTTTTTTTTTTTTTTTTGTTGAATTATGAGTATTTATATCTACTCAGTAGGTACTCACCATAATCAATTCAATGTTAATAGGTTATAAAAATGATGAAACTATTGAAACATATTTTAGATACCAAGTGAAAGTTAAGTGTATTCATTTTGTAATGATGTTTTAAGCTAAAATAATTGCTTATTTTATACCACGATCCTATTTTCAAGCCGTTTAACGGTAAGTCAATAAATTTAATTTAATCATCATAGATACATTCATGCCTAATTTTTGAAAATTTAAAATAAAGTATTCCTCATAACTTATTGCTGGAATTTAAAAAAAAATAAGAGTTGAGCTTAAAATAAAAAATATGATTAATAAGTGTCTGAAGTGTAAATTTTAAATAGTCGAGAAATTGTCTTTACTTTTTTATGTTATTTATTAACATTTAAAATTTTGAAAATTTAATACAAGATTCCTTAGAAGTTTTATTATAGTTTTTTTAAAATATTAAAAATACATAGGGATAACTTTTTTTAAAAGAATTTAAAAAAAATTAAATTTATTTATTTATTTTAAGTTAAAATATTAATAAAATAGCGAATATTTACAAATAATTTAATAATTATAAATTTATGAAACATTCTTTTTTTATAACTAAGAATAGAAAATATAATACAAGGTTTTTCAATAAAAATTTGAATGTGTATATTGTATGTCATATATTTATAAGATTATGACGAAACGGCCACGCGTTTGAAACAAAAGAAACTTATTAATGTAATTTTCATAAAATCAAATTATTTTTATTTTATAATAATTACGTTTTACAATTTATACCACACATTTTTTCACAAACTACAGGGCTTTTAACATTAATTTTGGTTAGAACGAAGAAAGAAACTTTAAATAGCGTATCTACCTAATTAATAAACACGTTGTAATTAATGAAAAAAGAACTATGCACCTATGTATTATCATTAGATGAATATTAAATTATCAGTTATATTGGAGTAAACAACGAATATTCTTTAAGGATTTTACCATGAATAAATATAGTTATTATTTAAATAAATCTTTAGTAAATATTTAAAAAATAATTATAAATTATTTAAATATAATATCAATAAAGTAAACAAAATTATATATATTATATAATATAAAGACATACCTTTAGTTGCGTTTAACCCATCTATTGTTCAATCCTTAAAGTATAATGTGCTAGCATCAGTCATAAATGGTTCATGATGGTGAATCACAGAATTATAATCCTTATAAGTAAATTATTAACCATTGACCTTAAAATGTCAATTGTCACGTGATTTTCCAAATGTCGTTCAACAGCTGGTTGTTGCAAAATATCATCACTGGTTTTTGTTGTCGTCGAAACAACATGAATAATAGGATTGAAAGGCGATAGATAGGTAAAGAAATAACATTTTATAGTCAGTTAGAAATTATTGAACACAATTTTCAGGCTTTTTAAAAATCAAAACATAAATTAATTTTTGTTTCATATTACGCATTATATTTCAATCAATTAAGAATATAAGAATAATAATAATAAAAAAAAAAAATAAAATATTTAAAAAACTTATGATAAAAACATCACACATTTAGACAAAATATTATTAAACGTATGTACTTAAAATAGAAAATAATGAATACATTTAAAACTTAGTAGGGTTAATGAAAAGTGACAACTGACTATTCGAGTACCTACTGTACTCTACCCAACAGCGTGGACAGAACCCCATGACTACACAAAATCACTACAACATTGAAAATCCAATTTTGATTCCAACAATTCTTGAACTCTGATTATCGGGTAGAAACGCTCACTTTTCTTGAACCCAACTAAAGATAAATTTTCGTCGTTAACGAAAAATGGGGCATAACAAATGTTAAACATTTTTTTTTTTTTTTGAAACTCTTAAGCTATTTATTTAATCTGCTTGCAAGTTACCTTATTCCTATCAATACAATATTCCTTTACGCCTATAATCTTTAACACTGTAGAGATGGGTAATAAATTAACAAAGTTTTTAATGGAGTAACACTGGGTTGTGTTAAAATACTTGATCATGACCTATACTAGGTCCGTTTTCTTACTTAAATTTACATTACTGTACCAAAGATATACAATAACACGAATCAACATATTTGATTCAAACTCTAAATAATAATTGAATATTTTAGTTGAAAGAGAAAATATTAATATTTTTATCTTTTAATTACCTATTCTATAAGTAGAACCTTACATTAAAATTTAAAAAGTTGTTATACCCATATTTTAAAATCGTTTTGCTCGTATTAATAAAAAAAAATTAAAAATAAATTAGGTGACTTCAGTTATAGCAAATAGAATGAATACATTATGAACAGGCCCGGCGCAAGGCTAAATGACGCCCCAGGCCAAAATGCCAATTGGCGCCTTTTACATACAACCCATAATATTATAATACTCGGAAAAAATGTTATTCATGGATAAAAATACGGAAAAATGATGTATAATTCTTAACTTGTAGTTTGTACATTATTTGTTATCGTCTTAATTAAAAAAAAAATAACGTATAAAGAAATATAATGTAATAGGTATAGTATTCACATATAAATATAAAATACCTACATACTACAAAAAAAAAAAAAATAAATAATAATACAGAAATTAATAATAAATGGAAATAGAGAGTACAATAAAACATAACATAAATAAAATATTTATTTAAATTTGTTATCGATCAACACTTTTCTTGATTTCTAATTCCCTCTTAATCTTTTTTTTTAAGTTTTCTGCTCCAGATAATTTCTTTTTCGGTGCCATTCTAACTAAAGCGTTTCCTAAATTAATTGTAATAATTTGTATAATATTATTAATTAATTCTTATCAAGTATAAATTATACTAATATACTAATATAAGGTATATTAAACATAAAATAAATATAGTATTCCAACAGATGCAGCAGCAAACGTGTTAATAAATAATAAATTAAAATATATTATATTATTTACTTTCTATTTTCTGTTAAAGTTATAACTTACCTAATAACTAGTGAAATTTAATCGTCAACTAGGCGATGGCGTAAGTACTCGTTTCAAAGAGCAAAAACAAAATGACAATAAAAGTATGATCACTGACCCGTATAGTACGATCGTCAATCAGTAAAATAATAATATAGGTATAATACTATAATAAAATTAACGTGTATTTTTAAACACACAGAATAAGCTGATAAGTGATGGACGGACGAGACGTAGTCATGAGTCACAATGGCTTGACGCGATCCCGATTAAACGATAACAAATATTCGGGAATTTTTATATTTGTAGAACAATACATAAGATAAACATTTTACGTTAGTACGCTAAACAGAATAACCATAATAATAATTATCTATATTTCAATACAAAGTTTTAGGAATTTTATATTTAATAAAAAAAATTACTAACAAAAGTGTGCAAAATTGTAAAAAGCAATTTCGGCGCTCCCCTGAAAATGGCGCCCTAGGCGACCGCCTGAGTCGCCTTACCCTCGCGCCGGGCCTGATTATGAATACATTTTGGTGAATCATTTAGAACTATTGATTTGATAACTTCGTAAATATTATCATAAAATGGCAACTTTTGAACTTGAGGAGATAAATAATTTATTTCAATAACTTCTACTAGTTAGGAACTGAAAATCTAATAACAGATTGTTGTAGCTATTATAAATCTTGTGCCTTATTTAAAAAAAAAACATCTGGATTTAAATATACAGCATGAGCAAACCTGATCTCATTATCTTGTTCTTTTTCCAACTCAAACAATGGATTTTTAATCATCCAAACATATAATGTCAGAATCATAAGTAATACCCATCGAATTAATTGTATTACTCGTATCTTCATATACATACCATGTACCATTTGATAAAAGCATTATATCTGTAGAGCCATTTAGTCTTGGATTCCTGAGAATTTCCAAAAAATAATCAAATATTATTATATCTTTGAACAAGCAAGGTTTATAACATATTGGGCATCTCCATGTTGGCTTATTTTCATTCATTTTAAGAAATGTATAAGCATCGAAACATTTTAAATGACGACAATTGGCTGATTTTGCAGGTATATTCATTCTGAGTTTACTTAGTGGACACACCAAGGAAACACAATAATACGTAGTGATCAAATCTGAATTACATTTTGCAAACATTTTAATTATATCAACTTTGGTCTTTTCTGAACTTCTTCTACTATTTTTTAGAATACTTTCCAACAAATCTTTGGCAGTCAATAGTTGTACAACACACATTTTCAGAACATATCTATTTCCGTTAGGAGTCCACTTTATATTGAGAGTATCTTCAATGCTTGAAGTAGATATTACAAATTTAGTACAATCAATAGGTTCTGCAGATGGTCTACGTTCAGTTCCTGATCTCGAATCAATAGGTAGAAATATATTTGATCCAGTACCAAAACTAATTTCAAGACCAGGAGGAAAACAATCTGATACCTCATGTGAAAAACATTGTGAAAACATGTAAAAATTTTTTTTCAGCTCACAAATTCTAATTTGTAATTTAAAAGTATTTTTATTTTTTCTAGTGTCAATGTTTGAAATCTTGTTGAGAAGTTTGACGTGATCAGATGACAGAGCAAATTTGATTTTCTCTCCATTCGCAACTGAAACAAAATATATATAATTAGTATAATTTATTTATGAAGAATGATCATAAAATACATTTTGGCGAATCACTTAGAATTCTTGGCTTGATAACTTCGTAAATGTTATTATAAAATGGCAAACTTTTGAACTTGAGATGGGTTGAAAATAAGGCGAAAGACTTATCCTTCTCATTATTCAATTTATCGTTATTAACATTTTTTGACACCTCATTGATATTTAAGGGCATTTGAGATGATACTGCAGTAATAACTGATTGTTGACGGTTGGCCGTATACTGAATATTACTATCAACCATGATCTTTGCAGGAACAGCATTTTCATCAATTGAGTTTTTACGTTTGTCTCTTTGAATTTGAGGTATAACCCGAGTTGATTCAGCTTGATCCATTTGTATTGGTTCATAACCACATTCTATTTTTATATAAGTGGTCGTAGGCAAAGACTCATGCATTTTAAATATCTTAGATTTATATTTATGGTGAGTGATTGGGATAAAATGAGTTGTATCAGTCTTTAATAATTCAATTGCCCGGCTTTTTAATTCATCTCTGTCTCCGCCTATAAATGTATCGTCGAAAGCTTCCAATAGAGCTCTGAGATCACAAGTCCGGAAAGAATTCAGCATATTGATACAACTTTCATCAGTAATATAGTTATTCATAGTCACTAAAAAAAAAGAAAGGTAATTAATTTAAAAATTGTATTTTTATAAATTTATAGTTTTAGTATCACATAATAAAAATAAATATATTATTGGTGATGATAATAATAATTATAATAATAACAACTATAATTCTTTAAATGATATTCAAAATATTCTCAATCTCAATACTTTATATAGTCGTAGAAAAAATGCAGATATTTCCTTCTTTTCAAAGTTGATAAATAGCTCAAATATCATTTTCTTCACTATAAGTGCTTATTCTTTTCCAAAAATCGCAATATAACTTCAGATCACGCCCCGATTTTCATATCAAAACCCACCAAACTAATTGTGGCTAAAATAACTCTTAAAAGAATTTCGACGCTAGAAAATGAGTCTATGTTAGACTTTCAACATAAATAAAACATTTCTTTCAGTAATTTATATATTATATATAGTAAATTTCGTTACAACAAATACCGATACAACGAAAAATCGCGTTATAACAAATGTCATAAAAGTCCTCTACCGAAAAGCTATTAAAACATTGTTAAACGAATCTCAATACAATTTGCTAAAATGCTCAAAGTTGAGAATTTCCAAGCAAGTGTTAGATGCTTAAATCGTTTCCGTGAGTGGTATGGTGTGGTGATCAAATGCATTTCTGGGGAGGCAAGTGACGTGCCAATGAATTCAGTTAACGAATGGCGTAATGGAGAAGTTGCAGCACTCATAAAGAAATACAACCCGAACGATGTCTTTAATGCAGATGAAGCTGGAGTGCTTTTTCAGCTTGAACTAAAAAAGACATTAGCCCAAAAAAGAGATAAGTAGATAAGTGTGTAGGAAGTAGAGTTTCCAAACAACGCATCACAGCTCTGTTACAACAAGTAACAAATCGAGAATGGAGAAACAAAAAATTCTCATCATCGACAAATCCGCAAAACCTCGTTATTTTAAAAACTGCAAATCTTTGCCATGCATCTATAAATTTAACAAAAAAGCATGGATAACACAAATAATTTTTAATAATAGGTTGATAGATTTTGATAGAGAAATAAAAAAGAAGAAGAGGAAAATTCTTCTTATCGATAATTGTACTCCACATAATGAACCACCAAAATTGGATTACATTCGTGTGAAATATTTACCACCTAACTGCACAGCTGTACTTCAACTTCTTGACCAAGGTATCAACAGAGCTGTAAAATTACACTACAAAACTGTTTTGTTATATCAAATTTTATACGATTTAAATAATAATATCCAAAGAAAATGCAATGTGAAGGAAGTTATCAAATTAATATGCGGAGCTTGGGATAATATCAGTCAATCAACAATAACTAACTGTTGAAAACATGCAACTGCAACCAAAGAAACCAATTTAGCAACAGAAGTGGCCGAATATGGTGAATCAAATACGAACGGCGTCTAAAAATCTGAGTTAGAGCAAATTTGAATCATTGCGAAAAATAAAACATCGTTCCTGACGACGTGCATTTAGAAGATTGTTTTAGTGCAGATGACAACTTTCAATGTGTTATTAACTAATCGAAGTAGAAATAATTTAATCCATTAAAAACAGCGAAGATGAAGCCACTGATGAAAGTAGTGAAGATGAAAAAGCTGTAATAGAAGATGATGTGTTCAATGTCACTTTATCAGAAGCCTTATCAAGTTTGGAAGTAATGCGAACATTCATTATATCACAAAGTGATGTACCAAACTTCATCTTTACAAACTTTCATCAACTAAAAAATTATTTACTTTCCATTAAAACAGCAAACCTTGTTCAAAAAAAGATTGTCGATTATCTACAATATAAGTTGTTTTTTTTCGCAAATTATTTACATTTATATTTGAATTATTTATTTGAACTTGAATAACATAATTTTTTTATTTGAATTTTTGAAATTTTGTTACAACGAAAAAAAAATTCGGTCCCTTGGAGTTTGTTGTAACAGGAACTTACTGTATTTTAAAATGTATGTAAATTAAATTCCTTATAAAAAATAATCAAAACATTGTTAAGTGTTCTCTAATTTTTTTAATGATTTTCTCGGAAATTTGCGAGCATCGTTAACAGTTAAGCCCTTTAAACGTCAGTCAATTAGTAAACCTATACCTCAAGTACGAAATAAAAGGCATTATGAACTTCTGAAACCAACGAGTAACAGAAAACAATAGTAGAAGCTGTTTAAATATAAACTGCTCAAATACGTTTTTCTTGAACGAGCAGCGAGAATAATAATTGAAAGCTGATTGACTACGTACTACATAAGTCCGTTTGAATGAAATAATTGACTAATGATAAATATGTCTGGTAATCAAATGAAAACACAATGTTTGATTCAAACGAATCTACGCGTTGATTTGAATCTTGCTACGTTAAATTACTACAATGCTAATTATCAATTATTATAATCTTCGTAAATGTTATTTATGGAAAAATAGATAAGTTATACGAATTTTGCAATGCATTAAAATTAAAAAATTAAACTCTAAAACTATGCTGCGTAAGTGGAAAAGTTAAATTGCCAAAATTGCATTTGTCAGTCAAATACCATTATCAATGTTGGTATCATGAGACTCAAATTAATCGAAACACTATTTTTTTAAACATACACAAATACAATTCGTGTTTCAAATCGTTCAATGCAACAGAAATAACATGTAACAATTACATGGCGAAGTTCTAAAAGCAAGGGCAAATTTATCATCGCGCTGGATCACTTCTGCCACTGCCGGGGGCAGTTCACTAACTTATCCAAATTTATTTCATGGGAATCTCTGATGCATAAGTTCGTCAACGTTGTCGATTCAATACCAGCACTAATCGAGGAATTTTTGCTACATTACAAAATTTGTTCCATCAACACAACGAATAAGTTCGACTATTAAGGACAGCACTCAAGCGAATGACAACTGATGATTATGTAGTTGTCATTAGAACAGCCACAATATCAGTTAACCAAAGATAATACAACGCACCAATAATGAAGTGGTGATTTTCATAATAGGAGAAGAATTTAATTCATGTAATATATAGGTCTTTATCGCAAAGATGGTAATGTTCAGCAAGTCTCCTTCATTTAAACGATGCGTTAAAATTTTATACCAACAAAAAGAAGATGAATATAATTTTAGTACCAAAACGAGAAATCAATAAACAGATGAAGAGATCAATAAGGAAGTCAGTGTAAATTAATTACTATTCATAACAATTCAGAATTCATGATAATGCAGACGTTCACAAATATAATTTCAGCGATTGTTTCATCAATACATGGTAAATATGTATGCAAAAATCGAGACAGAACGACTTCTCTTCATTTGATTGAATTAAACCAAGCTACACTCAGAAGAATACATTCATTTATGCAAAGCAATTGCTACTGATTGCAATCCCAATTAACTGAGAAAAATGGTCACACTGTCAGCTACGTTCACAAGAAACTCACGGCACATGCATAGGCACAAGATACAAAGATAAAGTCTTTGAATACGGTCGTCTAGATTTATTTATCACATTCGCATGCAATCCTACGTGAAATAAAATAAAAAAATTCTATTGCCTGAACAATGTCTACAGATCACCATAACATAATCACGCGTGTATTCAAGCAAAAATTAAAATTTATAATGAATTTCATTGTCAATAATATTGATTTTATAAACACAAATCACTAAACAATAAGTAACATTAAATACAAGAAGCAAGAAACGCAGAGAGTATTAACACACAATAATGATGATTTTGAATGACATACAAGAAAAACAAAAATTATCTCCTAATCAATTTACTGAAACTTTTTATAGCAAAATCGCAAGCATATGTTTTATAATATGAATTATAATTTTTAATAGTCTTGATACTTGACCATAGGTAATAAAAATGTTGTCCTTGATTAGAGGAGGTGATATAAAAAAATTAGTAAAATGTATATTGAGAAAACTAATATCAAATGAATATCCCAGAATATTCACCTATAATGGACACAAAAGTTCCAAAAATACTTTTAAATTTTAATAAAACCTTTTTTTCATAACTAGTATGTACCTATTTAATTTATTTTTATTAGGTGTAAAATTTAATGATTGAACAGGGCCAAAAACATTAATATAGAAATGTATTTACAATTTACCCTATTTCAATTGAAAACCTATACTTATTATAAGATAATATTTATTATTGTTAGTCAGTTTAATATATATTATAAATATATTCCTGTTTTTTATTCTTGGAATTTTTACTATGTTTAAACTATACTCTATTTACCCAAATAAAATACAGATATAGGTACTTAAATTTAATTTTAATGAGATAAATATTTGGTTTTTTTTTATAAATTTAATTTCGAAGTTGTCCTATAATATACATTTATACTAGATTAAATTATTTGGTATGATAAATATATCTAAATAAGCTAACATTAAATTTGATACAAAATGTATTTCATAAAGTACATATTATTATTAATGATGCATAATTTTTAATTATTTTTAATAACTCTTTTTATTATTTAATATTTTAATGAAGTTAAATTAACTGATAAATTTATATTACTTTTAACTATATCTAAAATATATATATTTTAGATATTAGATAGCTATTTATTTGTTGAATATTTAAATGTTTTTTAATAACACAAAATATTATTTTTAATAAATTAAAAAAAAATTAAACTAAAAAGATGTTGTATAAAATATTTATTTACATTAATAATATATCATAGGAAAATGAATAATACTGTGGCAAATATGGTAATATAGTCCTTAATAAATTAGTTGATTATTTAAATTTTGCCCAATATACATGGGTTAAAAATAATTATAAAAATTTAACTAATAGTATAATACAACTTTGTTTTGTTATAGAACTTACACATACATCTAGAAATTCTACTCATAAATCAGTTTAAAAAATTGAAACAATTACAAGCATACAGCTGAGCCAAGCTGGCGAAGGAGCAAAAACTTAGAATTAGAAATAAATATACTTCCAATTTTTATGTTATATTACTCTTAAAGTTAATTTAAATTCTATTAAAAGCTTTTATTAATATATCAATACAAAATTAACATATTATTAACTTCAACATAATATTATATAATTTTTATTTGGATATTCTATGAATATGAATAATAGTTTTTTAGAAATATTATTTAACTATCTAGTAAAGAGTCTATTAGGAGTCTAATTTAAACATGCATTGGTTATTATAGTAATTGCCGATTACAATTATTCAATAATTATTAAATTAATGATTCATTACATGATATGGATGATTTATAATCTTAAAAAAAAAAAAAATGATTTAAATATTATAGACTAACAATCTTAATATAAGAGTTAAACACCTAAACACAAAATTTATTCCCAAAAAACTTTAAAAAGTGTATGAAGTTTAATGTGATAGTTCCTTAAAGTATTCTAAAACTTCAATTAAATGTATTACAGAAAAAATCAAAAAAATATTTGGAAATGATTTTACAACCCCGAACTAAGTAGGGGACTTACAAGGAATTCAAATCGAAAATGTTTGGGGAAAAAATAAAGTTTCTAACATAAATAACACCAAAGTTATAATTAATTAAAATATATGAAATGGAGAGTTAACTTTTAACATTTAGTGTAGGTACCATACCTGTATAAAACATATCTCTCGTTCTCACTAATTATTAACAATTTTTAATGAAGTATAAAGCTTTAAAAAATAGTACTAATAATAATAAAACTAGGGAAAAAATGGAAATAATTTACAAAATTTATCCTGGTTATTCAGATGAGACTAAGTTGGCCAGCTTTTTTTCACACTTTTTCATTACAAACATTTGAACAACAAGGACTAGAATTATTAATATGACTATCCAAGTCTTATTTTATCGAGGGATTTGATTTATTTATGAAATTGTAATTTAATTTAAAATTGTGATGAAGTTATTATATCCTATAAATTATAGACAATAAATAGTGTTATAATAGATTGTCTATATAGATAGGAAGATATAAGTTTATTAGGGAAGAACAAATGTTGTGATGACACATTACAATATCAGGTGTAACAGTTCATATTACAGTATTAGCAGTTTTATTTAATCTGTGGTATTAGTATAATTAGTATGGTTTTTAAGTTACCACGTATGACCCAATGCTGCTGCACGTTAATGTGTTATATCATTATATTTATTATTATTCACAATATTAAAATTTGTTTACTAATAATTTAATTTTCAAATGTGTCTGGATTACTTTATTAATATCTATCATTTAACATGATTTTACCATTTTACACTAAATACTTACTATTATATGACTAGTACTTATGATTGTACATACCAATATTATAATTTATTAAATTTTTTAGTTTATTAAATTAATAAAAAGAATAATGAATAATTACATCAAGTAATTCACCTCAATAAATATTTAATAACAATAATGATGAATAATGATATTGATAAGTACTGTTTATATTATTATCATTATGTATTATTAAATAAATTTATATTATAATTTACATAAACAATTTTATTTAAATAGTAAGTAGTGTTAAAGAAAATTATAATAAGCTTTATTTATTTATCTATTTATTACAAATATTGGTGATTTATTGACACATGGTTCGACAAACAATTTTCTTTTTGTGTTTATTTTTCTGTATGTTTCAATTCAACGCAATATTGCTACTTTATCTATGCTTTTGACTACATCATATTTAAATTTTATTTTTATGTATGTACCTACGTCCTACATAATATAATGAATTTTCTGGAATAGGCTCTGAAAGCATTACTATTAGAGGGCTATCATTATATAATATATTAAAGTTTTAAGTAGTACAATCTTATATAATACCTATGTAAAAAAATAGTAATATTACTAATATTTATTTTTTTTAAATTCTGTTTATTCTAAGGGCCCCAAAGTAATATTTCTAAGAAATACCCATATTAACCAACTATTGTGTTATTAAAAGGTAGTGCATTTAAAAATTTATAATCCACTAAAATATTAGACTGATTTGAAGATTATTGTGCACATTATTATTTTAGTGAATTTTTTGAATTAGTACAATTATTTAATATATAATATATTATTTTTTTTTTTATATTATATTATTTTTATTAATTTGCAATAGATTATATGTTCTAATATATTTTTATAAATTTTATTATATATTTCTTTTATACGTTTAATTATTTGCTTTATTTAAAAAAAAAAAAGGTACTAAATTCAGTACCAGTTTGTGAAGTAGCATAAGGTAAATAGAAAAACCCTGTTGATTGGTTTTTTTATAAATATAATTTTTTATAAAGTTCCATAATACATCATTTTTTTTTTTTTATTATTAATTCTGTGAAAGGGCGGGCTAAGTTTGCTTAATTTTTTTAATGCATTTTCTGTAATGAGAACACATACCTAACAATGATCTAAGTTTTTTCATGTTTTAAGTTGTTTTAACTTGGTTTACTTGGCTATAAATTTTATTTTATATATTGAAAAAAATGTAATTAAATTTAAAATAAAAATAGATATTTTTTGAGATAAGCTAATAAAAATATTTATTTTTCTTATAGCTTTCCTTATTTATTTTAGTGTTTCATCAAGATTATTAACATGAAACATATCAAATAATTAAATAATTTTAGTAACATAAAATTTGAACTTCTTAAAACAATTTGAGAAAAAGATAAGCAAGCAAAAATGATCAGAATCTTTTAGCTTTAAAATAGTTTACCAGTTCTCATATTACAAATAACATAAGAATTCACACATCTTTTTAAGTATTTACTGTGGTTCATCATAGTAATAGACAAACTTGAGCATAGGTAAATTAAAAATTGATATTGTCTTTTAAATTTATTTTTATTCATATTAAATTAATAAATAAGACATTACTTTCACCGGGTAGATAAAATATAAAGTGAGATCTTTTGTCTTATAATTTTAGTTTCCTGAAAAAGCATTTGAATTTAATTAAATAAGTATTATAATACTGATACAATTTTTATTTTATTTTTTTAAATGTATTTATCTTATCAACTTCCTGATATTTTCAAATAAATTATAAGTAAATATGCCAAAAATAGTGTTTGGCAATGATAAAATTGAAAATGAAGTAATAACAAATGTAATGAGTGACTTTGATCATAATCCTTATTATAAATTGTATATACTTATCTTCCAGTTATACCAGTGTATCAGTGGTATCAACATAGAGCTTAAACTCTGGACCCTCGGGTTAAAAAATAAAAATTGTATGATCTACCAACTATTTTATCAAGTCTTTACATGTATAATCATTAATCACTGTATTGAAGTATATCAATTTAAAAAAAATTTAAATTTAAGTATACATTATTCAAACTTGTATTTAGTGGTACCTATTTTGCATGATTTTGTGATATTCACTATATTAGAGAATTATTCCATCATGTATCTATTCAACTTCAAATATGAGATAAGCTTCAACAAGGCACTGGATATCTATGTCATATTATTTCAAAGGTTCAACAAGTGATAAAAATATTTCTACAAATTTTTATGACTGGAACAAACATAATAAGCAATAGAGCAATAGACATACATTAATGTCTTTTAATAATATACTAAAAATAAACTCACTACATTCACAGAAAACAACCGTGGTTGTCGATATGAAGAAAGGAAAGAGCTACCCACCTACACTCTACCTACATTTATGTATCTTGATTTTGAAAATTAAAAAAAAAAAAAAATAATAAGAATAAATAAAGTTAGCCCTTTGCCTTGGTTTGGTGGTGTATATACTATATATACAACTAAATGAAGTCCAACCAAGAAAATACTGTCGGAGGTGGTTGGAGTACTTTTATTTCTTGAGATTAGACTTTAAGATTCAACTCAGCTACTGTTACTTCTACCTCCCAAATCTGGGGTCCAGATTTAAATGGACAAGGGTACATGTAACGATTGTCGTTTATTGACATCGTACATTATTCTTTAAGTAGGGCACACGTTGTTAAAATGCTGAGTGTGAGGAATGGCAAGCGGGGCTGACTGCTGACCTAAGGCTTTTAGGCAGCAGTCTAGGGTATATAATGATTACCAATATGTGTAGTGTAGGAGAGTGTGCGACACGGAGCAGAACAAACGACAAGAAGACTCCTCAAACGATCCATGCGGCCATCATCAATCCACACTCACGGCTTGTCAAACCTACCCAGATCGGTAACCTATATTCTATTATATAATTACAAATTATCTGTAAAATATACATTACATTTATAACAACTGTGCTTTACTTGATTAAGGTAACCCTGATCTAGTATATTAATATTACACACCGAGGTCGATTCCCCGAGACCTCGTTAATCAAAACATAACTCTATCGGTATGGCGACGTGAGAGCGCTAGCCAGGTGAAGAGGGGACGTTACAATATTTGTTTTGTGAAAAAATTCTTTATTAAAAAATTTTTTAGTTAAAAAGTTATCTAAATGTTGAACATGGTAAATAGATTCTGGGATGTCTGAATACTTCACTTTTTATGTTCCTTAATTAAGGATGAAGTTTTAAAATGTTTTGAATATTATTAACTTTTTACTGTAAAAGTTTTCTACATTAAATTAAAATAAATTTTAGATATATAAGATGATTCTATTGTAATGATGTGTAGTTATATTATATTATTTGTAATTATTTTAGTTTTATTGAATAATAGAATAATTTTTATAACATTTAAAACAAATAAACTTCTCATTTTTATTCATAAAAAAAGTGTTTACATTGCATACATACGTTTTGGTCATAGGCGGCATGATCATATTACTATTACATACAATTAATATATTTATTTATATAAAGAAGTGCCCTAGAATATTTATTTTTATAGGAAGACTATTAATATAAGCTTTAAAACAATAAAATTATTGTAAAATACTATAAAGTAAGCTATAATAAATATTCAAATATGGACAACATAAAACTTTCCACCCAACTTTTATAGAAATAAGAACAGCAAACCATTTAAAGCAATATTTAACAGTAGTATATACATAAGTAAAAAATTAAACATTTCAATTCTATCAACTAAAAAAGGGAAAATGTTTCTTGCATAGACTATATTAAAATATAATTTCATCAGATAATTAAAGAAAAACTTTTCATCTTATAAAAAATACAATGATTTGTAACATTGATAAGTCAAGTTAGTCAATATGTAATCAAAATAACTAATGCTGTTTATAAATTATTAATTATAAAAACATAATTTGTCAACATTCAATTTCTACCAAAAGATTTTCCATGCAACAGTGACCAACTAGAAACTGAGGTTAAGCTGTTGAAAAATAATACTATAGTTTCAATTCATGAAGCCTCAATTACAAATAAAAATAAAATTTCTCAATGGCTGTTAAAAAACATTTTTAACTAAAAAATACAGAACAATAGAAATATTACAAAAACTACTTTACTATTCTTCTAAAGTTTATGGTGATTCTTGAGACAAGCTATACTAGATTAAACTCTCTAATGGTTTTGACAGTAAAATAAGATAACAATTAACATAAAAACTATAACTGTTAATAAAAAGTGCAAAACTAAAGTAAAAAGTAATAGATAGGACTTATTATAATAGAAAAGGAATAAAATTTCCTATGTATTATAAATAATTTTAATATGTCTTTTCATTAGCATTGGTTATAGTTTATATGTATATGTGTGTGTTTACTGTTAGGTACTAGAATACTAACTTAATATTATACAATGGTATAAAGTAGAAATAAGGAATTGATATTACCACTGTTAATAATTAATATGCATACATTTGTGGAGTGACCTGTTATGTATATTACAAAATGGTGTTTTACATACTCTACTATAGTACATAATAATTATTTGTACTTTAAATTAAAAAATCAGAAACAATAGTATATTTTTTTTGTAAAGTATAAAATTAAAATTTTCTATTTTTTTACAAAAAAAAAAAAAAACTAGACAACAATTGATTGTTATTCAAAATAATAGTATTTTTATAATTTTTCAAGCAGATGTTAGCGTGGGCCCCAAAAGTTTAAAATATACAAAAAAGAAATACATAAAAACAGTATGTTCTAAAAGCCCAGTAATATCTCTCTAAATTAACTCAGTGACTAATCAATATCATATATTAAAATAGTTTTTTTAACACTTATCTGTAAGAAATATATAACATAGTAAAATGAACATCAATTTTTAAAAATTAAAAAATTAATTAATTGAACTCAAAACAATTTATTTGTTTTTATTTAAAATGTTTATTGTATGAAAGTAATTATATATGAATAAAAATATATTGCCGGAAGGTTGAAAACCCATTGATTCCTATTCAAAAAGATATTTTAGAGTCGATTGTAATATTAAATTTACTAAATAGTAGGTAATGTACCTAAATAAAACTTAAAAAGTACAAACAGTGATTAAATCTGTTAGTTCTACCTTTTCATTATGAAAAACCTTACTTGCTGTGTAAATAAAAGCAACAATGTTTTCAAATACTTTCAGATTCAGTATTTTAAAACATGCATTTTAGTAGGTAAATAAAAATAATAAATGAGAACGATTATTAAAACTCAAAAATGTCATAATTCCCTACAATTATAATGAAACATTTAAAAAGCGCTACATTATAGTTTACCTGTATTAATTTTTCTTTTTTCTTCTTTTAATTGAACGGCTTATTGACTTAAATCTGAATAATCGATAGGGTCGTGTTTACCGTCGGAATGTTGACGTAGCGTGACGACTATTCTTGTTGTTTTACAACTGAATCAAAGTTATAAAAACCTTGCGTGGATGATATCTGCTGAACGCCGGAGTGAACGTGAAAATCGTCGCCGAACAGAAAATAATAAACAATTTAACAGTCATCGACCAAAAACCAGAAACGATTTACTTTTACTGGAAAGAAGACTCCCGAAAAGCCAACGCCCAATGCAACTGCAACGACGCAAAGGAGTCGCGCGTTCACGATAAGTTGGACCGTGGTCACCAGGTGACGCAGCATGGAAAAAAAAACGACGAGTCGATGACGTGTCAAACGGAGAAGAATCACTACCCTGTCGCGCGCGAATCGCGTCCTTGACCGCGTTGGTTGTGTACCAACAACGGTAACAGTGTAGCCTGCGATGATGCGTACAATAGTTCCACGGCAAAACAATCGATCGCGCGCGTGGGCGGATGAGCGCATGCCAAAATTTCGTATCACGTTTCGCGTCCATCGTTTCTTATCGCCGCTGTACTGACTACTGACTTGTCAATGACAAGTTTTATTCGGGACGCCCGTGTGTCCCGGTTTTGGGAAAATAATTAAAACAGTTTGATTGGACAATTTTTTCGAATAATATTGTAATCGAGTCAAAATGTTATTGTTATTAAAACGGTATTTCCGTGTAAGAGTAATAGTTTAACAGACTGGAAAAACAAAATTGCTAGCGAAAAATGGCAATTTTTTTTTTTTTTAGTTTGTCAATACGTCATGAACAACACTCTGAACTTTCAAAGCTAGCCCAATATGTTTTTGCAATACCAGCGCACAGCGCATTAGCCCAGACGTTATTTTAGGACCGTAAGTTAATTTTTTCGAGTCAGGTGTTTGTATAATTTAATGTTATTATTTTACAATTCGCTATGGTATTGCAGGTCTACGCATATTATTGTGCTAAATATATTTATTTAGTATTATTGTTACCTTCTACTATATTCTTACGTTGGTTACATTATGTCACTCCCATCCGACGATATCTAACGTGAATATTTTTCTAAAAATAACCTTTTCTTTCGATAATAATATTATATAAAATTACAATCAATTATTAATATCCATATCCTGTACGAGACATCACTACTAATATTAGAACAAAAATATCGATATTTTTCACAAAATATCGACATTTCGATATTGTCGATATTTTTTCGCGCCCCATTTGTTACCAATCGATTTCCGTTTTGCCGCCCGGAACCCGGTGTTAACTTCCCGAATTATTTTGTTGATTATTTCATAGCATTTGATAAGACTATTTTTTTAAATATTATTTTAATTATGCAATTATTGATTATTGACTTGAACGTAGAATTTAGATATAATATATTATCGCTGCATAACTACTTATACCACCAACACATCTTATAGTAAATGCAATTTTTTATGATGATTATAATAGTAGTTTTAATATTTTTCATAATTTTTCATAGTTACAATATTGTCTGATATGATGATATGAATAATGTAAAACAAACGTGATTAATTTTGACAATAGCAATATTTATACAACACTACAAATTACATGTATCTACATACAAAATTGAATAAAATTGGTAAATTTAAAATTACTATGCAATACTCTACTATTGATTTGTAATTATTGTAATTCACGAATATTAATAAATTAATAATTAATAATTAATTAATAGGTATAGATAATATCATATCATAATATCAAAATTATTTTTATTTGATAGATACTGTATGAAAATTAAAAAATTAAAAATAAAGCTTTGCTTTAATATAATAACCACTAAAATCTATTTTCAATCGTGTAACCAATTTGATTAATTAAATAGTAAATAATATTTAAACATATAAAATGATGTAACAATAATTATAATTTCAATGCACCTACAATTAAAACATTTAGTTATAATGTTAAATTTTAAAGTTATAACTACGAGCGGAAAAGACATAGGTCTTATATTAGTTATGAATTATGATTCAATTTTGTAAAACTAAATTATAAGAGTGGGATAAAATAAAATCTACAGCATCTGACGCTGCAGGGAAACAAGACTGTGGAAGTGAGGACTATAAACTAAGGAGAATTAGAAATAGTCGTACTCGTGATGTACAGTCAATATATTATTAATGATCATGTAATACTTACCGACTGTTTTATAAATAGGTAGTTCAATATATTATGTTTGAAATAAATTGTAATTTACCAAACTATTTTAAAAATAATAAATAATTATTATAGTAATTAGTAAGTAATAAGTATTTATTTTTAGGTATAATAGAATCAAAAATATTGCATAAATATTACATTAATATACATGTGTGTGTATATATATATATATAATACATACATAGGTACATATTTTATCAAAAATTTTTATAAGATAACATCGTATTTGTATTTATATTAATTTATTATTTTACATCTATAAATTTTCTTCAACTTCAACATTTAATATACAATACTTTTTGTAAGCAACAAACATATAATATCGCATTGGTATTAATATTTAATATCGTACCAATTATTGATCTTCAATATTTATTTGATGTTCTTCGTTAACTTTAATTTAATTTTTTCAATGTAATATTATATTGGTATTTTATTTACATCGTCTTGCAATATTCCATTTGCGACATAAATGTTAGTAAAGCCGCGATAAATAGTAACAAATTTTGTACATTGGGTATATACTATATTATATTGGATCCAATTGACAATTTTCATCGATTATTGTAATAGATATAAGTGTGATAGATTAATAGATACAGATTCATTAGAATTGAATGCGTTAATAGAAAACTGTGCTGAAGAGAGCTTTATAATTTATCAGCAAGCCATAAAGTTGTCAATTTTTTAATAATAATTACGTTAAACAGTTTGAGAATAAATTATAGTTTTAATATTAGACAATAGTTATTATTTTGGTGATTTTATTAACATTTAATCTTCAAACGCTTATGAATTCGTATTTATATATTTTTAGTACCTACTCTTAATTGCTATAAAAACAATTTTGTGGGACTTTGTACTAAATTTTCGATGTTAGATATTTTTATCGACGTTTTAAAAATTAAACTAAATTTAAAATTTTTATAGATACCTAGATTGAGTTTACTTTAAATATTTTTAAAATTGCATTGATTTTATACTATGATAATTATTTATATAACCGTGGTATGTTTTAAGATTTTGCGATTAATACTTTTTGAATTACAACAATAAAATTAAAATTAATTATTTAGAAATAATTTTTTTATATGTGAACTTTTGTGAATATAAAATGTTAAAATTTAAGTTTCAATTGCCGGTAAAAATTATTTATAGAATTTCATTCTAATTTTTTTGTAATTCTTGCAAGATAAAATTATTAATTAACTTTAGAACGATATGAAATAAATTTTATGAAAACGATCGAGTAGCGTGTTTACTGTGTAGGTGAAAGTGTGCGACAATAGAATTTGATTGCATCACAAAATAGTTATTTATAGTGATTATTTAACAAAATTAAATTTATATCCTAGACATACCTACCTAATATAATATAGTTAGTTGTAATTTCGTATGACCAGTGAAACGAATGAATTGATTAGTTGATGCTTTTATTAAGAAAGAGAAAACTTGAACAACTACTTCATAAATTTTTTAAACAGATTATCGTGATGATATTATAATTATGAGTCCTGTATAGGCACTTATTAAGAAAAAAAAACTTCCATGGCCACAATAACATTATTATAATGATAGGCATAGTTTAAAACAGTCGACCTTGAAAACACGCAATTACAAATACTTTTACCTACCTATCATAAACTGACATAATAATAATAAGAATGATGGTCCATAAACATTGTAAATTTCTATATGTATTCTGTACGTTTTTTTTTTTAACAAAATTTTATATTACGCCATCTGTTTCAATTATGAGCAATAAGCCTAAGTGATAATACTAATTAAACAAAAGACAGAGGAAACTGAGGGAAGAGGCTTCCCGTCGTAAGTACTTCAATTAGAATATAAATTTGAGGGTTTATCCTAAAAATAATATAAATAGTACATAAATACGCAATAGTTATAAAATAATCATAGCTGAGGAATACATTTTTTTTTTTAATTAGTTAAGTAGGTCACGACATCATTGTCTTTTTAATCTTTTATGGGGATTTCCTGAAATATTTCCCAATGAAAGTTGGATAATAAGGGGGTTGGAATGATTAGTTAGTTTGCTAATGAATCGCTTTTAGTGGAGCTTAGCTAATTCAGTTACGGTAGATACAATACGTCATAGATCATAATTCGTGACCTTCGCGAGGGTTTCGTTAATAACATAAGTTAGTTGAGTTGCATTGATTGAACACACTTAATATAAATTATCCAATAATATTATTTTTAAACATTTAAATATCGTATATTATTTACGTTAATTAATATTACTTAATTACATATTTACATCACTAATATTAATACAGTTATACATCGAGTGTCGAGTGGATTTTAATATGTAGGTAGGTACAGGTTTTACAATGATGTGTGCGAGTATGTGTGTGTTTTTGTCTACATTATCATACAAACGCTACGGCGTTTTACAGTAGAAAAAATATTTAAACATGAATTAAACTTTGAGGGGGATTTATTGAAGAAAATTAGAACTAATTGGTATTATATTATGAAAGATTAGTAACAGTAAAAGTTTCTAACGCTTTTAAAAATAATTTTGAAAAAAATAATATGAAAAACGGAAATTTTAACATAGAACCAATACTTTTAAAAACACCTAAATTATTTATTTGTTGTAATTCAAAAATTAATTAACAACTATTGACCTTTTTTCTAAATATTATTTATTAAAATTAGTACCTATTTAATAAACACGGTATAGCTTTTAAAATAGTTTTGGTATGTTTATGCATGATGCATCTATAGCAGCTATAGATTCTAGCTTAACCTTCACAAGTTTATTATAGCGGATTTATGTATAATACAATTATTGCTTGTGAAAAAAAAGTGCAATTAAAAATTTCTCATAAGATAGCCTTATAGAAATTTATAAATACTAAAAATACATAGTCATATAATTTTATATAGATATTTTAAGCTCAAATTTTTACAATATTTATTAAAATTTAATATTTAGAATGCATAAAAATTATTATTTAAACAATAAGTTTTAAAAAAGGAATACAAGGTTCTTCAATAGGTAGTTTTTTTTTCATTTAAAAAGAAAATTTCAGCACACCTGTTTATTTTTATTTGTATCTATGATTTTTGAAATTTACATTAAGATGACGTTATGTATTCCAAGTATATATAATAACGATATATCCGCAAACAATTATTGGTATTTTGTCATTATTCAATAAAATATTAATCGTAGAAATCTGAAAAGTTCACTATTACTTATCTAGTTATCTAGCTATTATATTCCTTTAATAGGTATATGGTTATATTTTCAAAATATTTAGATAAATATTGAACTATTTATTAGTAATTGAAATTTTCAATTTTTTTCCATGGTTCAATTAAGTTGTTCTTAAAGTGATTTAAAAATATTAAAAATAACTAGGCGCAATTTTTTTTAAAAGAGTTTGAATTTAAATTTTGACAAAATTCGTCAAAACTATAAAAAATTGCAGATTACTTTACAGTTGAAAATGTATAAATTATTTAATTTTAATAGGTTTAAATACTGAACGTTTAAAACAAGGTTTATTTGTAGTTTTTCTTAACATTTAAAAAGATACAAACGCATACATTTTGTAAAATCGAATTTCAATAACATTTAAATGAAAAGTAAGAATTTTAGTTATTGTTTTGTAATCTATTCCAAAAATATTATTCGCTGGGACTTGCAACTTTCGTCACTTCGTTAATAATTATTTACTTTAAAAAATTTAATTTTCAAATTATTTTAGGCTCATATATTAATATTACATAAAATCATTTTTAAAATTTATTTATGAAAATTATTAGTTCAACCTAAATATTACTAATAAAAATTAAATTATTGATTGATTTATAACATATATTCATTACTGTCACAGTGTTACCTATAGGTTATGACGAAGTACAATCGACACCCATATTATGCTATATATAGCAGGCTAAGTAGAGTGAATTTCTAAATTTTTTAATGATTATAATGTATTTTATAATCATAAATTACGTTTATTATACTTATTCATAATTGAATATTATTTTTAACTCAACTTTAAATTTTAATCGCAATTGGTTTTTTAATCAAATGAATTTGATATTCAATTATTATTTTTTTTTTTTTTTAACCTAACTCAAAATTGTTATAAAACTTTTTTCTTTTAAATGTCGATAGTTTTTGTAAGCTAAATTATAGCTGTTTTGGATATTTTTATTTTGCATTAAATTATAATCATAAGACCATAAATATATTAGATAATTCATTACAAAACTCAATCAAAAAGCAAAACATGTGTTTTAGTATCTAGCCATAGAATAATAAAATTATAAAAACAATAACGAAAAAGTATTGAATTAGGTACCATATACCATATTAGAAAAAATAATTAAAATAAAAGTAATATTCCATTATTACCGTTAAAAAATATGTAAATGTATTATATATTTTAATTATATTTATAAAAACTAATATCATTTATAATTTTTTAATACATAAATTAACTTTACTATAAATATGTTTTTATATTCCATATAAATAATGAAGTTATCAATTTTAATATTGTAATTATATAACAAAAAAAAAAAAAACCATTATAAATTGGATTTTTTGGAGTCAAAAACGGTAGAACAAAAAGAAACAATATTACAATTTTACTTTAATTTAGTACTATAGTTATTTTGTATACTATAATCTTTAATATTAACTTTATACATGTAAATTAGATTAAAATGTATAAATAGATCATGAAAATTATATAAATCTATAAGCACTAACCATTTAATCGATCTTATCGTATAGTAAATTAGTAAATACTAAATAAGTACGCCCTATACCTAGTTCCTACTAGGTATATACGACCTACTATGTTTAATATTAAATTTTAAATGACCATAAATAAATTAATTAATTTGGTAATTGAAGCTGGTTTTGTCATTTAATATATTTTTTTATAGTTTATAGTTATCTGTATAATATATCATTGTGTATTATTTGTATAAATGTATTACTGTCATAATTTTATACTAAAAAAATAATTATAAATAATCGATAAAACTAGTATGAGTGGTTTCTATTTTTGTTCATATTTTTATTATTTTATATTATAAATTAATGTCAGCAAATAAATATTATGTATACAATTATAACGATTGTTTTAAGGGTAAAAAAAATTCGAATTTAATAGTTATGGTCACACTACTTACGGTTTGAAAGCACTGGTTTAGAGTATATTATACTTATAAAAATGTAGTCAAAGTATTTATTTAGCAAATATTGAATGTTGTATAAACAAAACAGTCAATTATATAAGCCACTTTTATATCAAGGATATATACTATAGGTATACACTGCATACCAATATGTAATTTTCAAGTGCTAATCGTTTAATTGACCTTGTCATAATATAGTAAATTCTAAATAGATACGCTCTATACCTACCATATACCTACGCTCTACTATGCTTAATATTAAATTTGAAATTACCATTAATAAAATAATTAATTTAGTAATAGAAGCTAGTTTTGTCATTTAATAATTTTTTTTTTATAGTTATCTGTATATATTATTGTGTATTATTTGTATAAATGTATTACTGTTAGGTATCATTTTACATAATTAAAAATTGTTTTTTGCTTTTGTTTTGGCTAAGTCTGTATATCATCTAAATAATTGTCGAAATATCATAGTCACTGACAAAAAGTAGATAGAAAAAAAATAGATACGCTTACTTATATAACAAAAAATAATATTACATAGACTTTCGATCTTTGACCAGATTAAAACGCTGCGTCGCGGTAATTCATCAGTTATCCTTATCAGGTACCTACGGTTACTGCCTACTGGACGATCAGTTTAACGTCGTGACTACAAGCGGCAGGTTGTGTTCTCCTCGGTAAAATATTTTTGTTTAATGATAGTGTGAGCGCTAAGAAAAAATGGATTATCATTTACAGCTGGCCGTGAGTATACTATAATCACGTAATAATAATACTAATATAATAATGTGAATATAAAATATGCATTTGAACGTCATTATAAGATCACCTAATCCTACACGAGTACATAAATGATAGAAAAACGTGAAGTCATTTTTCATTTAATAAATTTTTGTTTAGATTGTTTAAATTTAAAATATCGTGAAGGTTTTTAAAGTGGGCAGCAAGTGCATAATTCAAATATTATTTTAGTATGATTTTATTGATATTAAAAAAAAAAAAAAAGAAAAGATATTTATAAAATAATAAAATTAAATAATATTAAATAGATCGAGAAAAAAATTATTATAAATAATTGATAAACTCGTATGAGTGATTTCTATTTTTGTTTATATTTTTATTATTTTATATTATAAATTAATGTCAGCAAATAAATATTATGTTTACAATTGTAATGATTGTTTTAAGGGTAAAAAAAATTTGAATTTAATAGTTATGGTCACGCTACAAACGGTTTGAAATCACTGGTAATTATACTTATAAAAATTTAGTCAAAGCGTTTGTTTAGCAAATATTGAATATTGTATAAATAAAACAGTTAAATAATATAAGCCACTTTGATATCAAGAATATTTACTATATATACCGTAGGTATACCAATATGTTATTTTGAACATAATATATCTGGGTGCACATTGTTTGCGCACATTTACTAAAATTACAACTCATTTGCGCACATTTTTACAACTCGTTTGCGCACAGATTATTTCTAGTGTAACCACTGGTTTGCGCACACATTTCCCTTCCCACTTTTACAGACTTAGAACTGTCAGTGAATATTTTAACTTCACTGGTGTGGTTAAAAATGTATTTTTGGTGAGATGTGTTAAATAATATGTACAATTAATTTTTATTGTAGCGGTCATCTATTTATGTTTATTTTAATTAAGTACCTACTTATTTCAAAGGTTTACCTTGGAAGCGGTTGCCCATTTGTTCCAAGTAATTCAATTGATCAATTTCGTTATTTGAATATTTTGTCCACAAATTGTTCATGTACTCAATTGTTTGTAATACTTCTTTCCGGCGATAGTTATTAATATTCATTTTTATTGAATTCAGTTTAAGATCAGTTTCTGATTGAATGTTTAAAATAACATCTATTACTTGGTATACGTGTGGATGAGGGTTATAGAATTGATTATTAAAATGCCTATGGAATGCTTCAGCTCCGTTCGTTGTTCTGGGTAAATCATCTGGTTTTCCTGCCCACAGGGATGTATTGAAATTTGAATTATGTGATATATATGATGAAAAAACATAATCAGAGAAGTATAATCCATCAGGTGGAGCAATAGCTATTAAATTTGAAAATGCTATTTCTATTTCATCGGGTGGCAAGTACGGCAAACCAAAAAAATATTTAAGCCATTTACCTACATCTGAATTATTATTTTTATATTCCCGTAATAATTTACTACTTTTTTGTATTCGACGAAACCAAGATTGAGCTAAATGAAATGTGCAGCATACAATTTTACACTGTGGAAAGACATTTAAAATTGAGTTATGAGCTGATTTTTCAAAATCAACATGAAATTCTTGAATAATAAGTTGCCGATCGAGAATGTGAGTACAAAGATTTTGAAGTGTTTCCCACATAGTTGTGTATGTTGACGTATGTTTATCTTCTAAAAAACAAAATACTACTGGTACGTAAAAATAATTTTGATAAATATGAATGGTATACAGCTGTGTAAATAATTTTGGGCAATAAGAAAATGTTCCATCTCCAAATACATGTGGAGCATCACATAAAGCACTCAAATTTGTTGAGCATGTAAACAATACTACACTATTATCATCACTGAAATACATAAATTGTTCATTTTTAAATTTAACTTGGAATTCTTTCAGCTGTAATACAGCCTCATTAACAGTATTTGGGAGTTTTGGGAAATGTTTTTTTCTAATTGCATACATTGAATTTCGTAACAAATGCATGTCACCATGATTTAAATAATAATCTGATTTTAATAATAATTCTCGTCTAATAATTTTACTTGGTTGTGTATGCATTTCTTCAACGGCTTTTCTTTTAACAGAACTACGGATAATATCTTTATGTACTGCATTCTCGGAATATTCACTGTGATTATGTTCGTTTTTATGATTAATAATACTTGTACACTGAGGATTTAATGTAGCAATTGCCTTACATTTTTTATTGGTACATCGAAATGAAAAATTCCCACATTTTAATTTTCTGTACTTCGAAAACTTAAAATTGTTAATAGAAACACACATTTTACCGCGACGCGTATAGTATATATTTGTTATTTCATAATCCATATTTCTGTAAGCGCTATACGAGAGAATTGTCGAAATTAAAACTAAAAGTTTGTGTTTGCGATTTCAAAACGATAGTACCAGTTTATTGATGGGTCATAAATACTGATAAAGTTTATCGAAGTAATATTGCCGATTACAGACCATTATCTGCGTCTAAAAACCAATTACACTTAATATCACTGTTGGCACGTGTGTTGTGTGTAGCTGTGTTGTAGGTATATAATAATATTATGTACAAAATATAATCATGGCTATACCATATTATTGTATATAATATGTTGTGCGCAATCGAGTGGTTCCTTCTACAATATGTTGTGCGCAAACAAGTTACAGGTTTTAGCAGGGAAATTTTAAAATGTGCGCAAACTAGTTGTAGCCAATATATCTTGCATATTATAACACTTTAATTTAAAAATTGGTTTGAATTTTATACAAGTATAGGTGTATTATAGGTCTAATTTAACTTATAGGTATTAATGTAATAATAATTTACTTATTTGAATTTTTTCTTTTATTGTAAGACTTGAGAAACATCCATAATTAATGTCCATAAAACATTTTTGAACAATGCCAAAAATACAAAATATTGTTTTGAGTTTAAGTTTCAAAATATATATAACAATAATTATAAATGTGATAAATCAACATTGTAATAATTCACAGTAATCTAATCTCCAAAGAAGTATTATTCACCTCAACTTACACGTATATATTTCTAATCGGTATAGATAGTTGATAGATAATATTATAAATAAAAAAACTTATGTTTTCCACTGGCATGTATATTACATATATACAAATTTGATTAATCTATTTACGATTTACCTCATACATATTATTTTTTTTTCTTTCAAGATATTATTGTTGGCCGTCTGCAGTTGCTGTGGATTACCGAATAATACACGTCCGTACAACATTTTGGCATTTCTACCAGCTGAAACCAAAAGCCATTTCATGGGGTTCCAACCTCTCCTGGAGACATTAGTGACCAGAGGTCACAATTTGACTCTAGTCTCACCATTCTCGTTAAGTTCGTCGTTGCCACACTACACTCACATCAAAGTGGAAGTCACCGAAAACGTGGCAGGTAGTTGTACCTAGGCATTTGTATTTTAATATATAAACTACTATAATACATCTAATTAACTACACTTATATTAGAAAAAAAATATTCATCACCAAGTATTCTGTATTTGTCACCCCAAAGATGTTGTAATTAAAAAACTGATGAGTACCTATAAGTAAGTCGTAGATTTGCTTCGAACATATTCAAATCTAATGGTGAACGGCACTAGATTTAAACAATATCATTATATATTTTGTGTGGGCAAATACTCGCTGCAATATGTTTACAATATTATTTAAGTACAAAATATAATATTTTTACGTGCCCTCTTCTCGGTCGCTACCATTCGACGTGTTTCCTACGGCAAAGTTATGTCTATATTAACATTATTAACGATATCTCGAGGGCTCGACCTCGGTGTGTAATATTAACGCAAGAGATCAGGATTACTTTATTTAAGATAAGTACATAACATAAGTATATAGATATTTCGTATAGGTACTAATATTGGACAAAATAATTGGTAATGTATAAAGGCTATGAGGTTTACCGATCCGGATATGGTGTGTAAACGTGCGTGTGTGTGGATGTTCGCCGATGGCCGTGCGAATCGTCGCAGTCTTCTCCACTGTCGTGTTTTTATTCGTGTCACACACTTTTGACATTCATGCATCGGTCATTATTAAATGCTACGACACGTGCTGGAAAACCTTAAGCTAGCAGTCAGCTCTGCTCGTTATTTCTCATTCAGCACATTAGCCGTGTCCTACCTAAGAAGAGTAATGCACGATGTCGATCGACGACAATCGTTACAGTATCTCATCAAGACTTCTGTGCAATTCATTCTAAATAAAACGCGTATTTGGTGCCAGTGCATAAACCGTGTAGTTAAACAATGTATTATAACATGATGTACCTACACGATTAAACGAAAATGTTCAGAATATTGTATGTGTAGGGAATTGTGTGGTGTGTGAAGGCTAGTGAAGTGTATTAACAAACCAGTATGTCCTTAATTTATTTTTATTTTATACAATTTTAAAGTTTCATATGATATATAGGTAAGTATAGTATATAACTATATAAATTGATAGAAATTAGAATTTCAAAACATTTATTTATATGAAATAAATACCAATACAATTTTAAATTAATCGATATAATGATTACGATATTGAATTTAATAATTATCATATAATTGCTAATTATTATACGGTCTTGAGAATTATATATTCAGTGTTTTTACGATAAAATGAATTATCGTATGATTTTTACTTTCCATAAATCATAATAATCATTAATAAGATTAGAGCTCTGGCTCCGAAGTTTAATTATATTCACGATAACGCCTATCATTATTAAATGGTATAAAATATTTAATGTTATGATAGTTTTAAAATTAAATTTGATTTTATAGTCGAAATAATTTAGTTGTTTACATGTCAATATTTTGATTTTAATTATTATTTATATATTCTATCATATTTTGTTATAATGTACCGTAATCTTTTTATTTAGTGTTTTATCATTGTTCTACAGTTTTTATAAACAACAAGTTCAACAAAATATTAAATTATCTAATGTCACATTAAAAAAAATATTTATAACATACTAACTAGTTATGATTGTAACTGATGCGAATATTTCAAATAAAAAAAAAAAATTATCATAGCTAAATAGTCAATTTTTGTTTTAACTCTTTTCAATAAAGTACTTATCTTTAGATTAATAAAAAAAAAAAAGTGCAAACCGATTCGGCAATACTTTAGATAATAATATCATTGTGCAAACGAATTGCTTCAAGTTTTAATAATAATAATATTATGATAAATAATAAATATTATTATTTATACAAAAAACGTTATAATATAATATTATACATTTTTTTTTTTTGAGCTTTTTAAGTTTTTAAATTTTGATGACAGTAGTCAAACACACGATAATTATATTTAAATGAAAAAATGAAAATTATTACATTCTTTGTATACAATTTTGTTCAAGTTTAATTTCAAATATTAATAAAAAAAAAAAATTGTACTAATATATTTTTTAGATGTTTTGGTCTTAAAATAAACTACTTATGAGGTACTTTCTATTAAATGTTTGAGCATCAGATATTATACATTTTTAACTATAAAATAATTAGCAAATTTTTATAATTTTGACAATGCTTATCTATCATATATCGAACTTATTCAATAATTCTTAAAAATAAATTTTTAAATAACTATAATAAAGTTTATGGGAAACCTTGTATTTATTTTGAAGTTTTTTGACCAAGTGAAAATTATTTTTATAGATATTAGAAAAAAAATAATCGGGAATATCAAATGTAAAGAAATTATGAAAAGAATAAATAGAGGATTAATATTTTAAAAATTCAAGTAGGTATAGAAAATAGTATAAATATTTTAAAATATTAAGAATACCTCCAAGTTATTTTTTTTTATAAATTATTTATATTAAATTAAAGGAAATCGTTTGATGAGAAATTGTTGTTTTTTACCGTGAATATCCAACAATTTTGTTAAAATTTAAACTTCAGAGTTTCAGACACTAAAAAACAATATTTGAAATTTTAATATCTATTATTTTTATTAATTCCAGTTAAAACAATTTATGAGGAATTATGTATTGAAATTTAAAATATTAGGTATCATTCATGTTTAGAATGTAGAAAAAAACATTGAAAATATAAAATGTTTATTAATATTACTCAAAAGAAGTAAAAATATTTTGAATGTTTTAAAAAATGCTAATTTAAACATTTAATGAAAATGTAAAGTACATGCGTGGTTATTTGTTTTTGAGTAACACGTTTTGTTCAATAGTGGTTTTTCGTGAAAATTCCAGTTTTTTTTTTAATTTTAGATTTATTGGTTTGTTCAGAATCTATTGATTTTACAGTGATATTTTTTGTTATATGTACATTATTTTTGTGCCAAGTATACTCGATAATAAGTCGTAAAAATGCATTGATTTTCAATTTTGAGGGTGGTTCTTGGTAAAAAAATTGAAATAGGAAATCTAAAGTATTTTTTTTATAATAATCAGGGAAAATAAAAAAAGCTTAAGGGAAAAATAATGAAAAATACCACACAAATCTCATTTCTGAAAGAACTGATTTTGTTTTTGTATGTACTTCAAAAACGAATAACCGTAGCTAATAGGTACTAGAAATTTTTACCAAATGTTTGTAAGTATTAATATTTCCCACACTTCGTATAATTTCAAAATATTTTAACTTATAGAAATATTAAATTTTTTAAATTTCTATAATTTTTATTATAAATGTTAGTAAAAAAATGTTCACCGGGTAAAAGTGTTTGAAAATTTAAAACAAAATTTCTCAACTTCTTATAATTGAAAAATAACACAGTCACATTATTTTTTTATAAGCGTTTATTTCAAAATTCTTAGAATCTAAAAACTATTTAAATCATTTTGTAGTATAAATTCATAAAATGTTTAATATCAATACTTAAACGTAGAAAATAAACCTATGCTTTGTAACAGTCAACGTCATAATCAATCGTGAAATATTAAATAAAAATATTTTTGTTGAAATATAATTATTTATATAATAAAATAATAATTACACAAAGTATACGATATAGGTATATGGATTTCCATATAATGTATTTTCGTCAAAATTCACGATCTGGACGAATTTCAATATCTGGATATCCAGTTCATGAAATGAGTGGTTTCACTATGTGAATGCGACATATATATTCAAATATTCTGACGAATTTACTACAACTATAGTTAATTCGCCGATTAAATTGCGAACTAAATTAGTTTGGCACTGACTGTTGAAATAATTTTGTTTTTTTTTTCTCGAGAGCAATGCGCATCGAGTTAAAACAACAATAATTATTACGAATATGTTTTTTAAATAAAAGATTTTAACGGATTTTATATTATATACGAGTACGGTCGGTGAACGGATGATCGACGAGTCAAATAGACTCGGGCGAAAAGTTATCAAATATTATATTATCCAATATTATCAATAATTAACACGGTGGTTTTTAAGCGGTCACAACGATACCCGTGTCCAGTTCAATCATTATTGTTATAACCGTCGCGTCGTCCGGTTGCAGGCATGAACTTTCTGGACAAGAACTCGCTGATGAACCGACTGCCGCTGTACCTAGTCTCGCTGTGGCTGGGCCCGACGATCACCGAGACCGCGCTGGCCAAGAAGTCGGTCCGGGACTTCGTGCTCGGCGACCGGTCCGCGTTCGACCTGGTGCTGTTCGAGAACTTCTTCCACGAGTGCTTCGTGACGCTCGGCCACAAGTACGGGGCGCCCGTCGTGCAGCTCCTGCCGTTCGTCGCCAACCCCAGGGTGTCGCAGTGGCAAGGCAACCCGTACGCGACCGCGTACGTGGCCGACTTCACGGCCCACTACGCGGCGCCCATGACGTTCGTCCAGCGTGCGAAGAACGCCGTGGCCGTCCTATTCGACACGTGGGTCAACCGGCTGCTCTACGTTCCGCGACAGCAGAAACTCATGAGTGAACACTTCGCGTACGGCGGCCATGAGGGCCGACCAGAGATAGCGGCCATGCTCCAGAACGTGTCCCTCACGTTGATCAACACCCACCCGGTGATTGGCTCGGCCACGCCGTACGTGCCGAGTTACGTGCCGGTGGCCGGCATGCACACGAGGCCGTCCAAACCGCTGCCTACGGTGCGTACCTATACACGCGTAAATGACGGCGGTTAGATATGACCGCCAGGTGTCTGGGGTGTGGCTCTCCGGACACGGGTGCAACAGGATTGCGAACGTTTTACCTTTTTTTTTTTTTTTTTACGACGCCGTTGCGAACGAATGTCGCTTATCAAGAGATTTATTTATTATTTTTTTTTTTTCTAGCCGAAAAACGAACGATCGCGAACGTTTTTCAAAGGCTGCGCTGCCGATTTCATAATTTCTGAATACCTACGTTTTATTTTGTTCGGGAATTCAGTTAACATTTTTTTTTTTTTTTTTTTTGAATAAAAACTATTCGATATTAATAATATGCAAGATGATGTTAGATTATAGCTACGCGTTACAAACTAAAATTAAATTATATAAGATAATACGAAGTGTTTAAAATGTTGATTGATTAAAATAATTTAGGAGTATAAATATTAATAATACTGTTACATAATGTATATAAACTGAAAAAAAATATTTTTTAAATGTTTTTAACATTGATTAAATTTTAGATTTATCTTTTTTGGACATAGGATTATGTAAATTGTTTTAATAGCGTAATAGCAGAAAATCCTTATACTCTACTATTTAATTATTTAAAAATTTGTAATTAGCTAACACCACAAGATTAAAGGCAGGTAAAAAGTTCGCAATCGTGTTATGGGAAAAGGTCTGTTTGCAATCATATGTCACTTGCTCCGGACGTACCTGTTTCGATTGGTTTGTAAAACGACATTTTTTGTTTCAAACAAAATCGCACGTGCTACCTGCCGCACTAGTATTATTGTTATGTTCACCGTCCGAGTCCTCTATTGTTCAGCTATCGTCCGGTTCAGCACAAATTATTGTTATTCCTCTGAAACCAGTATTCCTGAAACTTGAAATTTATGTTCATTATTATTAGGTATCGTCTTAAGGGGCGTGCACATCGATATTTCGATGCCCCTATATTCTGTCACTGAGTTTTTATGATAATTTATTATTCATTTACATAACAATAAGAATGTGACATTCTCGCTGATCAATCAATGTCATAGATTTTTTCAGAAACGAGTAGTTTTAAAACAACTTATTGAATCCACTAATTCATATAAATCAATGATTCCCAACTTCTACTTTGAAGATTTTCAAAAATCTTACACCCCCTCCTATAAATTGAAAAAAATGCCCACCTTTTACAAATGCTTTACAAATAAACTATTTGATATTCGGAATGATTACTATTTTATTGATGATAATAATTATAAAATATGAATAAAAAATTAATAGTTAATCATTATTTATTATATACACTTTCCCAGAAATGTAAACACGCTCCTCTGCAGGTTTAGAAATACTACTTTAAAGTTTTGATTAATATATATTAGTGCAAGAATTTTTTATTTATTTACCTATCACTCTGTAGGTTTGCACAAATATTGAGTGTATTTAAATTTTGGAATAAACCACTTTTTTTAAATATAAAATATTATGCCTGGAAGTGATTTACAAACCTTTAATATTTTTTTTTTTCATTGGATGTAAAATTGAATACTTATAAAAATATTTTTACGTGGTGTTAATATTTGGATCACCTTACATCAAAACCGTGAGCGTGGGAAATATTTGAACTAAGGGTTAGGTTAATTAATGGGATCATAACCAAATCTAGTTTGAGAATCGGAATTTTAAACCTTACCTATGTCACCTTTTTTTAATAATAAAAAAAAATAAGTATACATTGTTTTGAAATATTATAGAAAATTATAATTGAAATATAAATATTTTGTTCCAATTAACAGCTTGAGGAAAATACTCGTATTTAATGCGTGAATGGATTCAAGTTCATAACATGATAATATTTATTGTTTGGTAGTGGGGACCACTAATTAAAAATACTGTCATTTACGATTAACCACAGCTATTAAAGTCTAATCTTATATATAGTTATATGCATATTAATTGTTATATATATTAAACGTATCACATCAAATTGATAAATAATGATAATTTAATTTAACAAGTAAATATATTATAACAATTCTAGAAAATGAAAAATAAATAAATATAATATACATCTTGTCGTATGTCCAGTCCAATGTATTATTAAAGGTTAAAATATACTCTACCTTAATTATACAATTTTTGCAAACCTTTCGTAATTCTTTTCTAGGACCTAAAAACCATTTTGGACTCAGCTGAACACGGAGTGATTTACTTTAGTTTGGGTTCAGTAGTCAAGTCGTCTAAAATGCCCAGGGAAGTAGTGTCGCTTCTGTTATCGGAATTAGCCAAGCTCAAGCAAACAGTTCTGTGGAAATGGGAAGATGATCAAATACCCAACCTTCCGAAAAACGTCAAGGTCAGGAAATGGTTTCCGCAAAATGATATATTGGGTATGTATGCAAATACTTCAAATCTAATCTCTTCAATAATTCTTATATAAAATAATGTAGTTTTTTTTTTTTTTCTTGAAACGGACTCCCCAGAACATAAATTAGATTACCTACTAGTTTACGAGTTTTTTTTTTTTTAAATTGAAAAATTTCTTATTTTTAGTATCTTGCTAACAGTTTTGATTTAATAAGTTACCTAACTATGACATTTTGTTAAAAATTAAAAATATGAAATGTCAATTTTGAATCTACTTATTTACTTGCAATAATTGACTGTAAATGAGTCTTAATCGTATTCAGTTATTATTGATATTTTATAATAAAATGCGGACTTACCGCAATATCACAGTCGTTATTATAAAAATTACGTTTGTAACATCCTTCCTCCTACCCTATGTAGGAAAATTATTAAATATTTAAATACCGTTATTATAATATCAAATATATTAGAAATAAAACACGATCATTTAAAACAATTTAAATAATAACTGAACCAGTGTGTATCGTTGACTATAATATTATATCGAATAAAATCATTTTCAGGTAAAATGTGTTCCTTTCCCTGTAGTCCATTTAGACCAAATGCCTAGCAATCACTATTACACGTCAAAAATTTAACTATTATATTCATGTAAGATATTGAATATAGCTAACGACGTATACCACTGAACAGCAATATACCTAGTTTATCCGTAATACACGATACCAATAATACAATAATTATTACTCCTACATCGATATCTTATAATTCCCGATTTTAGACCTTATGAATTTTCGAATTTTGATAGCGTTTTTCATATGAATATTATCTATGTTAAAGTGTTACTACAGTCAGTCCGTATTTATTACTCTCTAGCTATTACAGATTTACACTTATCTCGGAACGACTGTTGTAATTTGTATTAGCGATTTATTATTTTTTATACTTAATCTGTATAGGACTTGCAAAAGCATTTAGTGCAGGGGCCCAAAACTTAATGTGGGGGTCTGCCGGTGACAGTGCAAATTATTATTACATAACTATCTTTATTTTGAAGGAACTATGGCGATGTTAATTCTTGCAATTTTTAAAATTATTAAACTGTACCGGTAGTTTAATCTTCCGGGTCCACAGTAGGTAAATTTACCCAAAGTAAATATGTAATCTCACTCTAATTATTTAATTTTTTTTTTTTAATTTATATGTTCATATCATTATAAAAATTAAATTAATTTTTCTTTTATTTTATTAGTACCTATTTTGAATTTAGTTATAGCACATAGCTAATGAAATTGATTTATATTATTGTTTTTTTATTTATTTATCATAATTTATATAAGCATTTAACATTTTTTCATATTATAAAATAACCATTAAATTATATTGATACAAAATTATAATATATAAACTGAAATCGATCCGGAAAAAATAACAGGTCATTAAAATCGAAAGTTTACAATCAAGGATCTACCCATAAAATACACCCATAAAATACCTACACATAATATTGTAATATTTATACACTACTTTTGTTTAGGTCACCCCAATTGCCGGTTGTTTATCACGCACGGCGGCATACACAGCCTGATCGAGTCTATCTACCACAGCGTGCCAATGCTGTCCATACCTGTATTCGGTGACCAAACACACAATTCAATCCAAGCCGAAAGCAAGGGATTCGCTTTATATGTGCCCTACTTTGAACTGACAGCCGAGGCTTTCGGAACGAAACTTCAACAACTTTTGCGAGATCCTAAGTAAGGTGTACTTGTTTATTAGCTTATTAATTTATATAATAGGCAGATAGGTACCTCCACCTGTTATGGGACGCACCCAGTGACAAAACTCTATTAATACCTACCCACTTATTGTTAGATGGCCAACAAAGCAACGCATTACAGTCTTGTAATCGTGATATGTAGTGCTTTTTTTTCTTTTTGAAAAATACGTTTGAATAAGTGATTTGAAAAATTAAGAATGTCAGTGGTGTTTACCCATACTAATAATATACAGATCAAGGCTGTCTGAGGAGATATGAGGGAAATATCTTACATTCCCATTTCCCACCCATTCACGATTTAATTACTGGGGATAATCAAATATGGAAAAGTACTATTTATATGTAAACATAAGGTAACGATCACATCATAATAAAGTGAAAAAGTGACAAAATAATTTTTTAATGGAATAACCGCTTACTGCTTAATATGCAGGAATAAGCACACTAGACGTAAATTATAATCTATAATTATAGATGGGTTATAGCGGTAAATTTGATGAACTTAGAAAGAAAACTTTGTTGTGATAGAAATATAGAGTAAGTCGATTCTATATTTATAAAACATAAAATACTTAATATTATATGAAGTATAAAATAATATTTCATCGTTTTATAAGATTTTTAGGCTATAACTTCATTACCTATATGGCTATATTGTTTATGCTTTGTTTTTACTCTATCTTCTTTAGTATCCATAAAGGCGATAGACTTTTGGCCACCTGCTAAGTGAACCATAAATACCATTAAATTGATATTTAGATATTCAGAAAAGAATGGTTAAAGTGTTATATAACAATACCGTAATCGAAGTTTTCCTTAATTACGTGTCATGAAAAAATATCGAAGACCAATCAACCATATTCTCCATCAGAGACAAAGTTAACTATATAATAGCCTAAAATAGTCGCGTAGGTTCCCAGGATAAGGAATGAAGTGGAAGCCACATTGAATTAAAAAAAGGTATATAAAATAAACAAAACTAATAAGGGTTGAATTTATAATAATAAAATTATTATCTTACCTATGATCAATAAACACAATAATTAATTATATAAATTGAACTTTTTATTTTATAAAATTTGCAGTCAATCAATAAAACTATTTAGTCAACAAAGATGTTATTGGTTTTATAATTTTATTTTAAACATTCTAGAATGAATCTTATTAAAATAGATTGGTAGATTGACTATGTATTGGCTCAATAGTTAAATTTATTAGACCAATCTGGTCTTATGGAGCCCAAATATGGGGTTGTGCAAAACCAAGCCAAATTAAAACAATTGAAGCATTTCAGTCCATTTCTCTCCGCACAATAACGTCAGCTCCTTGGTATGTTTTTTACCACACCCTTCACAAAGACTTAAACATTGAATCAGTTGAAAACTTAATTAAACCCACTATAAAAAGTTTCATTCCAAATTACTTCATCATCCAAATCCTCTGATTGCAAACCAACACTCAGCCACAATTCCAGATAACTCTCCTCGTCGCCTCAAAAGACGTTGGTGTCGCGACCTCCTAAACTGAAATACCTCTCCCTGTCTTAATTGTCACAACTCAAAAGGGTCCTATCACTGGATAGCTTCTCTTCACAAGTCTTCAAAGTCATATGTCTATAAGTCAGTATGTCTAGATTGTAAATGTTATTTGTTAGGTAATAATAAAAAAAAAAAAATTTATTAAATAAATCTTACTATTTTATAATTTAATTTAAACCACTTTAATATATAGGTATAAAAAAACAATGTAAAATGTAGTCTGGAATATAATAGATTTGGTTTGTATTAATAATAACTAGTTTTTGAATTAAAAGTTTATCACTTGGAAGGTAGGTATAGTAACAAAGTAATAATTAGGTAGGTACTATGTAATAAGTACTATATTATATTATCTAATTAGTTTATTTAAATTTGATTTTTTACACTTGGTAACAATTTTTAAAAAGAAACTAATTATTAGCACCAATCATTCATAAAATACTAAAGAGTGGGTGGTTCATTGGTTTTTATTCAAGTGTTCATTTGCACCAACTTTTTTTAAAATGCCTTCTTTGACTTGCCAAAAATAAAATATAATCACTGATATACCTAAGTGTTTTACATCAGATTTTAAGTCATAATATTGTTTTATGATAATAAATGTTTATATAAATGTTTTTATTTTTTAAATTTATGGTATTTAACTCTTGTGATTAGTATATTTATGATAATATTACCTTATATAAAATAATTTATTTTTATACATTTTCAGTTCAATTTGGAAAATATTTAAAAATTGTATACTACTATATACATTTTTATATTTTAATTTAATGAGGACTGAGAAGTTTAAAGTTCATAATGATAAAGGCCAATAACTGAATAAATTACTAACTTACTTTGAGATTTGGGTTAATAAATTATGATAAATCATAACAATATGTAATCTAAATGTATAAGTTGTAATAATATGACGCTTTCTTTATCGTAGAAATAAGGTTCTATTGTTCAATCACAGATTTTTTTTATATATCATCAATTATATGATAATTATAACATCTATAATTATATATACAAGAAAAGAAAATAATATTGATGGCCTAACGCCTAAACATACCATATAATATTTTTAAGAGAAAAAAATAATATGAAAAGGAATTATTCATTAGGTATATATTTGAACTTAGTTATGTGTTAAGGATTTCTTAAAATTTTTTCATGAAAATATTTTAAGATTTATTAAAAAAATCAATATTTTTTACAGAACTACTTAAACATTAAAATGTTAACTGGTGAATTTTATTCATAGTTTGTGTTAGAATACTTTGTATAAAATAAATTAGAAAATCATAATTTGCATTAATTCAGGATAATCTATCATATTAATAATTGTATTTAAACAATTTTAGTTTACTTGTGTGAATTGCTGTTCTAGTGATTGCATATTAAAATAAAAATTATTAAAAAAAATATTATAAGATTGAAGTGTCCTAAAAACAAAGCATTGATAACATGAAAACCTGATAAAATCGTTTTGAATTTTGTATTTGCATTACTAATTATGGATGTTAGATTAGGAGTGCATTATCAAAAAATGGGAATGGACTAATGAGTTATATAATATTCTTAATGAAAATTAATCTTTAAAATTTCAACTGATATGTTAAAAATCTAGCTTTTTTTATTTCTAAGAAAAATTATATTGTCACTGGTCATTGAAAGAAAATTAAGATTTTACCCAAGATTATATACTGTTTATATTCTTGATAAATTTATATTACCAAAGAATAATTAAATTAAATAGGTATTCTTTTTTTTAAAAAGTTATAAAAAAACATTTATTTAAAGTTAAAATGCACAATATCTTTATCATTGAGAACTTCTTTAACTATATAATATATGAAACAGCATTAGCAATATGTCTAATATGCTCAATTTCTTAAATGTTTACTACTGGTAAAAACTATTTACATTGTTTTAAAGTATATAAATGTTGTGAGCTATTTTACTTTTATGATTATTAATTTTTAATTTCATACCAAACTATTTGGAAAATCAAAGTTATATATTTGAATTTTGAGAATAAAATGATCCATAATAAAATGAATATAATTATAAAATAGATTTAAGCTACTGCGGGTATTGCTATTTTCAATAAATTAAACTAAAAACTTAACATTAACCAAATATTTTATGATAAAAATATAATTAATTACATACCAATCATAAATATAATCAAAACAAGGTAAATAATTTATAATATAATTATGTGTTAAGGTAACAGTTATTGCAATTTGAAGTATATCAATAGCACAATTGGATTATTACAGATGACATCGATAATGGTAAAATTTGTTAAAATATAATTCAAAATTTTGTTTTTATTACAATTCAATTGATAAAAATGTAAAAAAGCTTTTACATACAATGATAAATTATTATTTTAACACATTGACTGCCATATGATCGCTGGTGGTCATCTGTAATTCTCAAATTGTATACATTTGTGACCGCTGGCACTTATAATTCATCTTTACTACCATACCAAATGACCGCCGGTGACCATAAATGAATTAGTTTTATTTTATTAAATTTTCTATGGCTCTACAAAAATGCATCAAAATAAGGACCGTGACATAGCAAAAATTATTACAATTAGGTACCTAATACAATTTTTTTTTTTCAAATATATAGTGTATACAAATTTGGAAAACATTGAAAAATATGCTTGGCATATAACAAATACCTATTGAATGACTGCTGGCAGTCAACGTGTTAATATAAATTTGCATTAATTTTATTAATTATATTTTTTTTTTGAATGAAAGAAGGCATATAAAATAGCAAACTTCCTCATTCTACAATAAGTCAAGATAGACAATTAGATTAATCAATAATTATCCAAATCAAAAGAGATAATATTGGTTTTCAAAAAACACCACTTTAATAAGTGATTCCCTAATTACAAACATTAGGATTACCAGATTTAAAATCCCTTAACTCTGGAACAAGAAATGATGAATTACTTTCTTTTTTGATTCAATTAGGAAATATGTATATAATTTTTTCATTTAAATATTCATTAATTTATATTAAGATACAATTATTATGCATTAGTAATATTTTATAGTTATTTTAAATCTTAATACAATTTTTAAATGTATTATTTTTATACAATGATACAGTGTAAATATTTTTTCTAAGTTTCTTTTAACTGGGATAAACTGTATGACTAGCCAGGACATCAGGCTTAAAAACCCTGGGACAAATAACAAGCATGAACATAGAATTCAGCAATTCTAATTTCATGATGTTAACATTAATTTTAGAGTGACCTATTTTCAATTGTAAAGGGTAAAAATGTTATCAGTACTTCCTTGGTGATTTTTTACAATATTTTTGTTTTTAATCAGGTCATAAGCATTTTAAAATTTTGATATTTTACATATTCTTACCTTCTTTAAAAATTCAAATTTAGTAAAAAAACAAACAAGAATCATACCTTTAAGTTTGATAATAGATAAATTCATCCAAATAATAAAAAACACAAAATTGCAATTTATGAACACAAATGTACAATTTTACTATTTTTTCAGTTTGTAAAACAAAGACAACACAATAGGTATAATGTTCACTTACATTAAATTATAAAAATATGCTGAAAACAATCATATATTGTTTTGCGATGTAAAAATTTACAATATTATTGTAATAATTAAATAACCAACTATTTATAATTAAAAATAAATTATTTTGCAAAATGTTTTAATTGATCTAAATTCATTATAAGTTTGACTTCTTTATGGCTATATCAAATTCAATGTAGTTGGAGGTAGTACAGTACTAAAAGTATTTAAGCATATTTTCTCATGAGTCTGTTTCTTCTATAGGTACAATGTCTTTCATATGTCTGTATAATTTATAAACAACACTCATTAAAAACAAAGGAACTAATAAAATATGTTTTAATAAATCTTCAACGCTCGATAAATTTATTAATTCTTGGTTCAGTACAATAAAAGTTTAATAATACTTTATCAATTATAAAAACAATAAAATCTCATATTGTGAATATTCAATTAAAAGAAAACAAATAACAAATTGTATTAAATTAAATTTTTCTTGTCATGTCTTTTACTGTGCATAGTATTCTAAAAGTTATAGGACGTCTATACATTTAATTGATTAAATACAATATTATTCTTAAAAAACAAATACATGCTTAGTCTTTAACAAAGCACTTATGTACATTTAATAGATAATAAAATATTACTTGTTTATTTTAAAGAAAATGCATAATATACATACATTTATAATATTGTATAATAAGATATTTAAATAAATAAATTGTAATAGACCAAAATAGTACAAAATATTTTATCTAATAAGAAGACGCTATACCTGCATATGTTATCTCTGTCTTACATACATACAACACAGCAAATTTGCATTAAGTAGAATACATTGTGTGTGGTCAGTTTTAATATTACAGTAAATTGACTTATAATCAAAGTTAAAGGTAAGAACAGTGATGAAGTGTATGACCTTTTCTTAAGTATTAAAGAATATTATTTGATATTTAACTTTAATAATTAAATATTAAAATTCATAACTGGGATACTAACCTTATATTTTATGCCAAGTACTAATTAGATGAATTAGTAATTAGTAATCTTTGTATCTTTCCGTTATTACTCAACAATTGCTTTATCTTCTGTTTTAAGCACTAAAAGAAAATTTTATGTTACATGTTAGTTTTTTCCTAGGTAGTACAAATAATATAATATTTAAAATATTATGATAATTACATAATAATTGTACATAACTGTATTAAATTTGAATATGACATTGTATTATACATTAATAGTTAATTTTAAGTTTAATCATACTTCACATTCTTTTAATATAATTTCTATACAAAGGTTTTTTTAAATCTTTTACCAAAAGGATTGGGGCTATTTAAAAAATAAAAATAAAATATTCTTTTAATTATAGCTGTTTAATTATAAATTGAAAAAATGATTAATTATATGTAGAATATGTATGATTGTTTTGTCATATTTATTATTTTGATATATTATACAATTATACTATAATTTAAATACAATTAATTTTAAATATCTAAATAATTATATTGAATCTGCTGTTCAGTAGCTTAATGTTTATGCTGTCAATTAACGTTAAAATATAAAATTTATTATTTCATTAACCTGGTGAACAGAGCTTTATATTCTCCAGACTCTCCTTTTAATCAATTAGATTATAAATACTATACATAATTTATTTTCTATACTAAACCAAACTTTTAATTTAATTTAAACAATACAAAAAATATAGTTAAAATTGTTAAAAATGTTCAATGTAAATTTAAAACGTAATTAGTTACACATAAAATATGGAATATATACTTGTATTGAAATTATTAATGTAAGCCTAATTAATAACACCATAATTGTATTTGTATTGCTGATATTTAACAAGTACAATGCGAGCTAGTTAAACATTGTAATATACATCGGATAGGGAATAAATCTAATTATTACATTATTTTAAAATGTATAAACATTAATGTTAAGTTGAATTTAATTAATGATGATTATATTACTTTTCAAATAATTCTTAGCTACCTATACTAAAATATTCAACTGTCACACAGTTAATACTCAAGTGTATCATTATTAATAAGTTAGTTGTAGTTCCAAAATTTATATATATTACCTAAAATTTAAGCTTCTTTATCCATTTGAATCGCAGTTGTGATAAGTCCAATTTGTATTTATTTATTTGTTGGTCTCAATTATGGTGAATAGCATGTTGACATCCTCTTAATTTTCCATTGATCGTGGATGCTGTGATTTGTGAATTGTCAAAAAGATCGAAGGCTACAAGTTTAACATGTATCTACTCTCTAAAGATTAAAGAATAAACCATGACCATAAACAATTTAAGTACAATACATAAACTGTAAACAGAACGAAAACGTTAGGTAGTGAGACCGTTGGAGGTAATAGCTACTTAGGTAGTAGCTACTATAGGTAGTAAACAACCACGTACGACTTTAAATTCTTAGAAATGATAATTGTGATAAGCGGTAATAATGGATTTTTTTTAGTGTTACTAAACTTGCATTGCTGATTAAACTGTTGGTCAAAAAGTAAAAAATTTTAAATATTTAAAAAAAAGTTTAAAAATTAGAGTTTGAAACAGGACCGTGGGACCCAGGTTCAAATACATTTCTACACCCATACTAAATGGCAAATGCTAAATGCTAATAATGACACTGGCTCCACTGACATAATTTGTTGTAGAAGATAAAATGTATATAATTGCATAGGGCGTAGCCTTTGCCGCTATGGTAATAATTTATTTAAATAGAAGTAATAATCAAATACATATATAGAGTGAGCGTATTAATAGTAGAAACTTTCCACCGTCGGCAATGATAGGGGTGTGAATTAAAATATTAAAGCATTTTAAACTTTAAAAATGGGCTTATACGAGCATATTGTTTAGGACAATCGGAAATCGAATATTTTATTTGTATACATATACACGAATAATAATAGGTAGGTACCTTTTACATAATATGGAATGACCATGATACCACTGTTTTTTTGAGTTGTGATGCGTTACGAATTCGTTATAGGTAGGGTAATTAACTTTATATTCCTAGCGAAATATATACCCAACAATTTTATTGACTATATTATGTATAGCTATTAGCTATCCATAGTTCCACCTCGTTTTTGTCCACGGACAAACTCAGCTGTGCGGTATAACCGCACAGGTACAAACGACTAGAATGACCTATACCGCAGTATACCTATAATACAGTAGGTATAGGTACTTCAATCACGGAATTTTTTCCATTTATTCTATGCGTTAACGTGGCGGACGATTCGGTTTCAGGTACGGCGAGGCGGTCGCAAAGGCATCGTCGATAATGCGGGACACCCCGACGTCCATCATCGATAATGCCGTATTTTGGATCGAGTTCGTCGTCCGACACAAAGGCGCGCCCCACCTGCGTACAGCCGCCAACCAACTCTACTGGTTTCAATATTACATGTTGGACGTGATCGCAGCCGCTATGGTTTTGTTGACCGTCGTTTCGTATCTCTGTTTCAAGTGTTTGTCGTACTTGCTTAGGAGAATAATCGGTTGCAGCGCTAAGACCTCCGCTTCAAAAGTATCGAAAAGCAAAAAGAAAAGTCAATGATAATCCACAACAATATTACACAGGTGTACTTACTACATTGTATGGCTGACCACCATCGCCGTGTACCTAGGTATTTAGGTACTATTTACCCTGCGCACGCTGTTCAAATCATTTATAAAATATGATCATAAGCTTATATACATTTATAAATAGGTAATATTATATAATATGTCATTTGTACTCGTATTTATATTCACCTCTTGGTATCTATTTGGTTATAATATTATAAGCGAATACTGGTTATTGTAACCTCGTCCGTGAGACGTTTAAATATTAATCTAAATAATACTGTATCTGTACCTAATACTAATTTTTTTGTTTGTCCAACGTACAATAAATTGTACGAATAATATAAAGTAATCGTACAATTTTTTTTATAAAATCGATAGTAAGTTTATAAATTATAACGTATTATGCATTTCAATGTTATATATATATATATTTTTTTCAATAAATTATAAATATAGAGTCAGTGCTGTAGCCAGATTTTTTTTGAAGGAAAGGGCACTTTACTTTTTTTCTTTCAAATTTTGCAATGCTGGAATATACCTACTTGTCCTACTTATGGCCTTTTTATTACCCTTTTGTTTATAAATTTTTTACTACATCACATCTACTTTTTACGAATACTATTTGGTATATTATGTTAACAAACTAAGGTTCCCATAAATTTAACATAATAATGTATTAACATCATTATAATTTATTGTAGATAAATTTTCATAGATTAATAGGTGACCATAAATATTATGGTATTATTATACCATATATTTATTTTATAAAAGAGATAATGATAAGCCTGCAAAAAATGTTAAACGCTTAAAAACCCAATAAAATATTTTTTGTTTTATGATATAATTAAACAAATGGGTTTAAAAAAATGTAAATATTTAGAATACCAAATTATTTTTTGATTTAATAAAGTAGTAAAAATAGTCAATAACCAACTGATAAAATAAAATAATAACTCAGTTTAAAAATAAATTATTTACAGGCATAATTATTTTAAAATTATTTTATGTATTTCGTATTTACCTATTTAAAATTTAAAATCTAGACGTCGTTATTTTCTATTTACAAAATCATATACTAATAACTTAATGAGTCTGAGTCTATGTCTAAATCTATGTCCCTATGTATATTTAGTAGTGCTAGTCAATTTTCATTAGTAGAACTTCTCAAATAGGTTTTTATACGCTTAAGACACGTGTCCCCAGTACCCCTCCTGGCCATTCTCTCCTAGAGTGTTCAATAAGTTTAGAAAAGGTCATTAGACTAATTTGACACTGATAAACGATTATTTGTTATAATTAATGAGGTCATTAAATAATATTTTACGTGATAAACCATTTAATACCGAGTTGTGATCGGGATCAAAACGAGAAAAAAATAAAATCTTAGCATTCAGGTAATATAATTATTATGTTTTAGATATTGATAATTATTTTATATTGTTAAACTGGTTTATAGTTTTGTGTGATATAAGTACATATTTTACAAATTTCAACGAGTCAGTTTATTCTTTCAAATATTATTTGATTGGATTTTTAATACATTTCTGGCTAATACTCTCGATTTTTTATTAGTTTCCAAGTCTATTGAATTTATTTTTGAAATGTATAGGTATATAAATTCAAACTCAAACATTAAAATACTTATTTTATAATTATCAATAGATGCTGTCATCTTTTAAATCTTTTTTTAAGTCAGTAATAAAATAATACGCTATATCACTTGAAAGTTATCAGTACAACTTTTACGATAAATATCTGATTCGTTGAACGTTCACATTCTGCGGCTCAAATTCCAAAGTTAACATGAAAATCGTTTAAATTTAGTAAAAATAGCTAATATACAATAGTTATATTTATATCCGTGTTATTACTATGAAACAGATTACCTATACTTGGGAATTTAGGATATTATATAACAATTTACGATTCGTATCATCATTAACGATATCTATCATTAATTTTAAATACCTAGTTAATAACATTATTAACAACAATTGATTATATTTTAAATATTATATATGTAAATTGATATTAATCAATAATTATTAGTTATTAGTCATTAGACAACATGCTTATAGATCGACTATCAAATTAGCTATGAAATTCCATAATGAAGAAAGCCCCTTCCCACTGGTTCTCCCACAACTTGCGCCTATGGAAAATATTATTACATTTTTGATTTATCATTTGATATTACTATATTTTCTATTTTCTTAGATATCACTTTTTCTATATCCAAATAGTCATGTACGTTATCCGTGCATTTTGGTAACTCTGGTAATTGTTGTAATTTAACACGACTAATATTTTTTAAAGAATTAAACATTAAAATAGGTACTTATATATTATATTATACAAAATATCATATTATATGTCATTGTATGCGTGGTTTTTGAATTATTATAAAACTATAATATGGAATTTAAAAAAAATAAACCGGAAAAAGACGTGTTTCTTTATTTCGTGTTTTACTGGTATTTTATTTTATTTTTATCACAATTTTAAATTGCTATATTTTTTTATGATCTATTAATGGCATAACTTAAACATTTTGAAATTATGAAAAAAATATTTCTAGTTAAAAATGAAGAAACGTCTTTAATTACCTATTTATATTGCATTAGCTTATATGAGTATTTTGTAACTTTTTAATTTATTTTATTGATGTTATATGTGGACTGTGGATATCTGGTATTATTACACATTTTAAAAATAACAGTTAATAAATTTTATTATTTATGATAAATTCCAATATTCCAAATTCAATGAATAAAAAAATATTTTTATTTTATTTATTTATTTACTTAGGAGAATCATGTCTCTATCTTTCAATGTGTTAAAAAGATTAACATTGTTATTTACCTTTTGTTTGTTGAATATTAGTATCTGTTTCATGATTTGTTTGATCATTTGTCGATCTTTAAAACACGTGTTTCTTCACTGGTAATACATAATTAATAATTATTGTGTACTTACTACTTACTGCAATTTTTAATAATGCAACTCCAGGATATTTCTCTTGTTTCTACGATAGTGTCTAAGTTTAAAATTATTGAATAAAAGTAAAATTTTTCTCTTTTCATTATATATTTTTGAAATTTGCGATATTTTTTAAATTAAAGTTAATTTAACAACGTCTCGTCATAAACTAAAATATGGATAGTGCTTATCGGATTATTCGGATTATCGATAATCGAATACGGACCGTAATTTATTAAGACTGTAATCATTGACGATTGTGTACCTTCAATATTATTACGATCGCAACTCGGACATATCGTACAAATGTTGAAATGTACATTAGTGTTATCTGTAAATGCTTCATGTAGGTATCATACCCAACTACCTTGTACCTATTACCTAGGGCAGCGGTCAGCGTTTACCGTTTACCAACCTTCTACTCTGACAGATTCCATGGGATAGTAAAAATTATTGCGGACTCCCTTAATAAAAATAAAAAACAACAATAAATAACAATAGGTACTCATTTTATAGCTCTATTTTCTGAACTTAATGCACATATTTTTATGATAAAAAATTGAATTAATAAAAGTAATGGAAAAATAGATATATTATTTGTTTAATGAATAATTAGTGTGTTCAATGTGATGAATATGGTGTTGTGTTTTCAATTGACGTTCGCGGATTCCCTCCGGTATACGCGTGGACTTCGGTTTGGAAAACGCTGACTTAAGGTATGCATACAATAATAAAGAATTTTCGAATTTAAACAATAGTTTAGTATAAGAAATAAGAATATATTCTATTGACTAATACGTCCAACACGTAACATAACCATAATACTCCTAATGGCTAATGCCTACAAATATTTTTAAAACATAATTTGCAAAATAAACATAGGTACCGCTTCAGTGACGTAGGCATTTCAACATGTTTGTAGGGGAGGAGGATGAGATGTTTTTACATTTTATCTATTACTTTCTCTCTCTCTCTCTCAAAATATTGTATTTATCATAAGTACCACATTTCAGCACAATAAATGGAAGTATGCGTGTGATATGGAAAAAATAATAATAAAAATTTCCAATAACGTGTACAAATCTATAAGTTATTTGAAAGGCGTTTAATATTATTAATTGTTATGGCCTTTTTTAATCAAAATAATCTTATAAGCGTAGTCGATTCGCTATAAAATAATACTTGACTTCTTGGTGATTTATTTTTGTACCACTACCACAATATGCATAATACAATAAATAGGTATATTAATTGTGCAATGCTGCAATAGTGATACCTATGCTCATCTGCATCTGCGTTTACTACGAACTGTTTATGTACAGCTGGTGTAGAAAATTCGGTATTTTTTGTATTATTTCTATAAAATATAAATTATATACAATAATATTTAAAAACAATATTACTATTGGTCAAAAATTATGTTACCATTATACGTAATTAGTAGTTACTATTTTTTTTTTATAGAATTATGGGACATGGAAATTAAAAATAGGAGATAACAAATTATGAATAAAATAAGGTCTTGAATGAAACATCATTCTAGAAACAATTTTCGATTTTATTTTTGTATAATAAACAAACTACGAACAATACGAATTAAATGCAAATAATTATTTAATATACCTAAATAAAAGTAGTTGAACCTTAAATAGGTGTACAATTTATTTTAAAACTGTTTATGGGTAAAGTCGGGTAATTCAGCTAGTATCTATATTATAAATATTTCATTAATTGATAAATTATTAATACCTATTACAGTATTATATAATAACATTTTATTACTTATATTATTTGATATTATTCATGACGTGTTCAATGTAATCTAAAATTAATAAAATATCTATTACTCAGAATCAGTTTTAATATTTATCTACCAAAAGACTGATGGTATATCGAAAAGTATTTTATAAACCAATTACTATAATAATAAATAACTATAATACATATTATCATCATTATTTTTTATTGAATCTGAAAAAAACTAATATGAATGAATTTTTTTTTTAATATCTGGAAAAAAATGAATGTGGTAAAAATAAACACCACTATAAAATAATATGACAAATTTATCGATCACGAACTTCGTTAATAATAATTAGTTTGTATAGTGTTAGTTTAAAAATACCTGTTATAAAATATATTTTTGTCATTGCCTACATTTATCAATTTTAATTTAGCTCAAACATTCAATTTTATATCAACTATTTACATTCATAGCGATATAGCCGATATAGGATAGTAATGTTACAATATCTAAAGTTAATTGGAAAAAAAATTCAGTACAGCAGTTTTCCTAAACGCCTTTCTAAGTTTCAAGCCTTTGATCGAAGTTTAAATGATGGATTATTGTACAATTGATAAAATGTATTATTTCACAGGTCACAACTAAATCTTAACTCTCTTCGTTTAATAAATTCAGCATGTACAAACCAATAAAATTATTATACCCGACTTACATATTTGAACATAACATGGTCATATGGAATACGATTATGGCCGTTATGGGGTTTGGAAAAGGCGGAAAGCCAATATTAAAACTCATTATCTAAGCATTTTAATCAATTTGCTTGTGATTTGTGACAAATAGCCTTCTTTTCCTCTTCATGGTATTTTACAGTGTTTAGAATATCAGGTTTCAATTGGCCATCGTAGGTTAGAAGCGAAGTCAACAATCACATACCTATACATCTATATTTTCAAGCCTCATTTCTATGTGACAAGTCCTCGTTTAACGTTGATATTATATTCTTGAAAAACGCAACGTTAATCGAAAAAACGTTTAGTAAAACACTCTTTACATACTACACTTTATCACAACGTATTCCTGATAATAAATAACAAGGTATTATCATTGTTTTTAGAATATTATTATATTCTAAAATCAATAATATTACTTAAAATTGTATGATAAAAATTGCAGGATTTAATCAATTAATTTAAACATTATTAATAGTTGGTATTAAATAATAATTAGTTACATTTTATATTAAAATTAACAACCTATAATTAAATTTACATATTTATTCATTAAAAATTGCGCCTAGTGTTAACTGTTTTGTTGATTTTTTTCTCATTGTGATACAACTCTCGGTAACACCAAATAGGTACGCGTTAAGTTGTTCAAAACATTTCGTTTAACTTGTAAAAATCTTTTATAATTTGAGTCTTCATCATTTATTATTTGAAAACCTTTTTCAATTAATTAGAAAGCTTTAATTTTTTTATCTAAATTATTTTTCATTTACATCCTTTTAAAACTTTGTCAAAAAGCTGATTTTGATTTAATTCTAGTAAATCTTTATTATTTGGTTCTTTCTCATAAAAAGAAATTAGTTCATTTCTATTTACTTTTTCTAGCTCTGGAAATGTATTGCGTGCAATCATTAGTCTTTTGATTTGTAGATACAAGCATGGTTTCTGATCAATCGACTACAAATTTCTTCCAAATTGTCACCATGATAAATTCATATACCTACTTCTAAATTATTTCTGCGCACAATTTTTTCATGTATTGAATGGCATGAAAAATATTACAACTTTGCTAAAAATCAATTATACTTTATTTGTCTTTCGTCTCAATTAATTGTCAAAATGTACGACATAGTAACATTGATAATACGTTTTGAATTTTGCGATCACTCCCTGATCCATTAGTCACATTAAAGCTGTTGTATTTGGCGGAATGAATATAACTTCGACGTTTTTGTCTAATTCATCGAGATGTTTATAATGTAATAGGGCATTACCAATAAGAGGTATAATTTTAAAACTTAAATTTTCTTTTTCACAATATAGCAGGTAGGTACTACAAAATCAGTCAATCAATGATTAAAAAGAAAACCAGTAATCTACAACTTTTTAAATAATTTGCAGATTACTGGTAAATTGTCTTTCGTGCAATTATTAACGTTTTCATTCTAAAATCACTAGAAGTTTTCCTATCCAACAACACAGTTACTCGACTTTAGCAATTTTAAATCCTGTAGCTAGGGACATATCTACATAGAAAAGTTTTGGGGGATATTTTTGAAAATCAGTTGTTAAAAAAATAGAATTTTTTTTAATAAATATAGGAAATACACAATAGGTATATTTAATAGGAAATATGCTAATACATAATAGGCATAATTTTGTTTTATTTCAAATTATATTAAAATTTTAATTTGTTAGTATTAATAATTTTTATTTTGTTTTAGTTAATTTTTTACAAACACAATGAATATTATACTTGTTTAAAAGTATAACATAACAATTAATATTAAAATTGAATAAGTAAATAATCATACAAATAGGTAACCAAATATTTTGGGAAATATTCAAACATCAAAACACCACCCTGTGTACGTTACTGCCTGGAGCTGATTTTTCTTTTTGGGCAATGCAAGTTCTAGAAAAAATATATTTCTAAAAAAGCCCTATTTGGTTAACAACACATATACACCTTCTTAAATCAAATTTTTCTTATTTGGAGATAAAACATCTACTGCATATTGATTAGCACTTAATTTGCAGCTTTATCAGTAATTTTTGTATTAATAGTTTTTGAAACGCTTAAACCAACCTTTACTAGCATTAAATTCAAAATTATGAGAATTTTCAAATTTTTTTTTTTAATTTATTAGATGGGTAGCTTTTTAATTTAAACTTATTGGCACTCGATCTTGATTTTGCTCCTCAATCCACAATATAACATTATTTCTATATTCTCCATTTAAGGATTTTGGGTTCAATTACTTTAATATGATCTAGTAATTGATGTATTTTGGATACTCACCTTAAATAAACATTTACAAGTTAATTAGATAATAGTTAATTAGATTATAATAAGAGGTTGTGTAGAAATAATTCTTACTACAGTTCATTCGTTATCAATATTTATTATTGGAGCATTTTTATAAATTAATAGATTTTTGGGGAAAAAATAAAAATATAAGTTGTGTTCAAACAAATAAAATATAGTTAAGCTATAATTTATAATATTTTATAACAAGTTATAAGTATATTTGAATAATATTTCAAATTCTTATAGTTATCTCGTTTAAAATATGTATTGAAAAAACTCTTTGTTCGAGCACAGTTAATATTCTCCTTTACAAATTCAACAATATATTAATCTCGTTCAATTCAATCATAAACTATAAATGAGATGTATTAAGAATCTGATACACAAGTGTAATATGTTACATGTGTAATAATAATTATTATTTGGACACTTTATAACGATGGTGTTAATTCTCATAGATTTGTCTTAATATAATTTTATAAATCATCTACTCAGAAATAAAATTATGATGTGTAAATTTATCTATATGTAAAATAGATAAATACAAAATTGAATATTCTTTCCAATTATTTTTTTCAATTTAAAAATGTGTAAACTGATAATATTAAAACTTGATTATTTTAATACACCTCTTTTTAGAAATTGGCAATATATCTATAACAATCAAATATATATAATTAGAGGATACTTGGTTTATTCATTATTTATTTGTAAATAATACTAGCAATACTAGATAAATAAAATAAAATTCATTATTTTTATTACAGTAGGTAGTGTATAATTACAAAATAATTTAAAAATAATAAGCTGATTAATGATTATAAATATAATATTGAAAATGATTACTAGTTATAGAAATACAATTTATTTGTTTAATAAATTTTTCAATTAATAAAAAAACAAAATAAAATATAATTGTAAAGCGTATTAAATATTAAACATTATAATTTTATTTAAAACAAAAATCAATTTTAAACACACTAATAATCATTTTAAACTAATTAATATATTTTTATAAAATTAATTAATTTATGACTTAAATATTAAAAACTAAATGTATGAGTACAAAAGATTATAAATTAAAACCGAATTAAACTAAATAATGTAGCAAATATTTATCAAACAATTAATATCAAAAAACAAAAATAAAAACTTACATATGTAATGTAAACTATTAATATTTTTTAAGAAATTGAAAACTTAAAAATTAAATACTACACATGTTAAAATTTAACAAATTAACAAATTATTAAACCCAAAACACTAAAAAATAATATATTTTAATTTTTGTTTATAAATCTCGTATATTTATAAGTTATAACTAATGTTGGTAGATAATCGTATAAATTTAATTAAAAGAGTAAAAGATTTCCATTGGTTCCTCTTTCTTGACGTTCAAAAATTTCTCTTGAACATTTTGAAGTGTTAGATTGCCTTCGAGAAGTATGTATTGACCAGCAGTTTGTAAAATGTAGATTGAGGCCTTTATTTGATTGTTTCCAATCTCTTTATTGTGATCTAAATTGAACCGCATAGTTAAATAACTACTTACGTGTTCGACTAGAAAAAAAGTAATATAAATATAATTATAAACATTTTTAAGTATGTTATTTATTTTTTTTTTTTTTATTGAACTTAAGCCCGGCGACTAGGGCCATTAGCTGTTGTAGGGGTTATGAACTGTGAGTAGAGGTAAGGTTGGTAAAGGTGGGTTGTTTTTACGATTATTATTTTGTTATGGTTGTTACGGTTGATAGTAAACACGTGTATGTGTGGCAAGGTTTTTAACCATGAGTCAGGGTGGTCACCCATCCAGAAACTAGTAGCTGTGCCCATTACTTACTTCCAGTCGCAAGCAAACGCGCCACAATATTTTATTTTAATTAATATAGTTGATTAGATTGCTCAATAAAAGGTTGATTTCTAGCATTTAAATTTTAAACAGTTCATACATTCATATAGTTTATTCTGAAAGTATTATATTACTTTGGCTTAAATAAAAGAAATCTCATGCATCAACAAATGTTGTTGATTCAGTTTTATCAAACCTGTTGTTTTCAACAAGCTTTCAGTTCAGAAAATTAGAAATAGGCTATGCAACTGCTTTCTCATACTCATATGCGTTATTTCTTACTTATTAGTTTATAACAATAGTCATGTTAAATGTTATGTTCAAAGAATCCATTTTACTTAGTTAATCCAACTATCAAATTTCAAAGTAAGAATATTATTTAAAGCACTTTAGAATATGCTTTTAATATTTTTATTTTGAAGTAAGTATATTGTGGTTATTTAAAAAACATACATATTTACTTTAAAATATATGTTATAATTTTAGAAAAATCTAGGTGGTAGTTGGAATAAAATAGTTACACTCCTAAGATTGGAGTACTCGGTAAACATAAGTTACATCCATTTCCACTATTTGTCGCCTGAGGTAACTCTAATTTAAGACACGAATATAGTATATGAAAATAACTTATTATGAAAATCATAAAATTTAAAGTATAGAAAAATTTAAAAAAAGACATTATTTAAAATTATAAGTGAAAATATAAATAGTTTATTTCATGTTATTTAATTTAAATACATACCAGTAGTAAGAGGTGGCGCTTTTAGAAAACGTAGCTCAGTTTTATTTGATTCCTTTTTTAATTTATTATTACGCATTTTCTTGGGATGAGGCTTGAGCACCAGTTCCAAATCATTTAATGACATACCATTAAACGCACTATCACATTCAATAATATCGGTGATTACAGATGTTGAAGCAACTGTTTTAATCTTTTTTATTTCATTGCCTTCTAATGTTGGTTTTGTTAGTTTGACGTCCATTTGACCAGAAGTAGATGGTGTAAAAGTACTTGATGAGTTACTTTCAGTTTCCTGTATGTCTCGTTTCTTCTTAGTCTGATACGAACGCCGTTTTGATTGTATTTCTATTCCTTCAGCTATGGATTTTATCAGGTTATCTTGACTTTGATTCTGTTTTATTTTCTCAATATATCTATTTTGAATTGCATTGTATTCTTCACGACTAGGAAAGATTTTAGATATTAACATTTCAAAACTTGGGTCAGGTCGTAGACATCGTTTGGATTTTATCTTTTTACGACAAGTAGGACATTCTTTGTTACCAGAACGAAGTGCAGTCACGATACATTCAGAACAGAATCTAAATAAAACATATTACTTCATTATTATTACAAGTTACATATAATTAAGTGTAATATATAATATACTTCTATTAAAACCTACCTATGAAGACATTTAGTCGACACTGGCTTGTTCAACAAATCTAAACAAATCGGACACATCAATTCTTTTTCAAGAGACCGCTCAGGTACAGCTATTTCTGTATCGTCCGTAATGACTTCATGAGGAGTTCTCTGCAATTCATATGGTGTAAGATCCCATTCTTTACCGAGTCTGCTAGTGTTTGAAGAAGCCATGTTGGAAAACAGTCTTTATTGGGCAAAATATATAAAATTCAATGAAAAATACTCAACGTCAGGTATATAATCACTCACTATAGTCATTCACTACTATACATAATAATAAAATCAATACTCACTTAATGGCGGCGGGCGGTGGTTAAACGATGATTAAACGTAAGTAGGCAAAATGAAGCACGTGACGTTGAAGGAAATGGCGCGACAGTCGCTTTGGCGATATTGAGATAACTATAAACAACAAACGTCGACAACCAGTAGCGCTTTCGGTCTTTCTCGAATAGGTAGCGGTTTTGGCACGAAGATGGAAGATGAAATGCTAACGAGCACGGAACTATGAATAGTATGAGATGTTCAACGTTCAACTGAAAAAAAAAAAAACATTCAACAGTTGTGGGCTGTCGCGACGCACGGTATTACGGTAATACCGTAGCGGTAGCAAACACTAAAAACAGGTGTTTCAATGCCCCCGCATCATTGTTATCAGGAATCGATGGGCTATCACAAATCGCTGGGAAAGGGAAACTACGTCAATACGGCTGATATTATAAGAATGCTTGAACGCTTCGCATCGGATAGAATATGCTTTTTGTTTTAAGTCGTAATTTGTACTATTTGTAGTATTTGACGATTTAATACCATTTTCATTTTTCACCATCGCTAATCGCTATGACTAAAATATAGTTTTGACTTTTTAGTTTCGCGTTTTGTTATCGAAAACAGAACGCGTATAAAGTCGGTCACGTCGTTAAACAGTTGCGACTGTTGCGAGAGCATGGAGTAAAAAGAAACCAAATAAAATGCGATCAAGGTTGATTGCTCCAATCCATCTTGGTATCGACCGCGGTTTTTTCGGCGGTAACTCGAATGATTCATTAACTATTAAATACTGTAAACATATAGAGTTTATACGAATTTATTAATATTTTAATAAATACACTTATAATTTTAGATTTTTGATATAAATATTCGATTGTATTTTTTTCGTGATATATGACTAATTTTTTGAGTGGTTAAATTATGAATTAATTTTTGGGTATTAAAGATTTTTTAGACATTTAGATAGTAATAGCTGTGATCTCGCATTTGTAAGATGATGTAGATAATTATTATGTCTTAGTTATATCCTTTTATTTGTGGTATAAAGAGGGTCGTAAGTGGGCAATTTGGAGTGCTTATCGTTTAATCAGAATTGTTAAAATTGTGGCTCTATCGGGCATAAGATCTTGTGTACGCCTATTTTATGGTTAGATATTATGTATCTGTGTTGGCTGAATAAATTATTTTTTATAATTTATATTAAAATACTATGTTTATAAGTCAAAATACTCGCAATACCTGTAACTTTCGCTTTTTAGTTGTGGCGCAAATAGAAGAAATATTTAAGGGGATTAAGCTCCCAAAAATTGTTTTAAAATACATTTGTAGACAATAACATGTATTTTTGAAATATTATATATAACATATTTTAAATACTTTTCTTGGTAAATTAATGGATTTATTTCATTACGAAAAAAATAAATACATTTTGTTGTTAAATTATCAAATCGTATATATGTTAACATATCTACTGTCACGTATATATAAACATCATAAATATACTTAACTAAATAAATAAGGTATTAATAATTTAACCCATTTATTTTATCAAAAAACGATATCAATTTGTAGTTAAAGTTAGTTACATACAGTTTAACATTATACATTTATTTTAATAAATTAGGATTATGTGTCTTAGTTTTTTCAAAAATATTTAATACCCATTTATTATTAATACTGATGTCATTTTCTATATTTTCGATACTAAAAATACTTAAGTTACTGAAACTATTTTGAATGTTTATTCATACAAGTACTGATGTACATTATAAATAATAATAGGTACATTTTTCAAAATGAATAGATTTTTAGCGAGTGACAATACTATATTACAATATATTATGTATAATCTTTATGATTAACTAATGTGAATAATTTAATCTAAAAGATTTTTTTGAATTGAACACTCAATTTTGTTTTTTAATTTTTATAATATTATTAAAAGTTATAATTAATATTATTAATTTTGAGCTAACAAAGTTTCATACAAAAATTATATATTTTATACAGTTAATATTATTTAATAATTAGAATTTATGTTGATAGGTACCTATTTAATATGCATTGATGGAGTATTAACTAAGAATGTACGTATTTAATAATAATGTTGTTTATAGGTAATCTAAGGGCTTTGAAAAATTAGGGGCAATACTTGTTTCTTGCCTAAATTATAGATTTCGATAAATTGTATTTGAATTTCCTTCCGATTATGATATATAAATTGCATACTCACGTACACTAAACTTTATCATAAACAAAAAACGTTTAGCATTACTTAGCACTAGATGTCACATAATGTCAGGTTAATAAATTTATATGTATAGCTTTTAGACTTCTAAAACATCAAATTGATTAAAATGTTTAATTACAAAGTCGTAATTTATTCTCAATTCTTTAAGTATATTAGTAAGTACTCAGTTCTCATAGATTTAAAATAAAACTATGATTATAACTACAATAATCATGAAAGATAAATACAAAAATATCTGAGTATTTCTATAAGACTGATGTTTATTATTATTATACAAAACTGTTTAAGATTAAAGTTTAATTTTGTTAAATTGTTTACATTCAATATTATAATTTATAATGTTCTTATACTTTTATTATTATTTTATTAAAAATATATGTTAGGAACTTAAGTTGTCTTAATAAATAAATCCATTTATCTAAGAGGTACATTTTAGTTTAAAGTTTATAAGCCATTAGATACTTAATTATTTTTAGTTAGTAGTTAATGTTAACAGTTTTGGAAAATTACTAGTATTTAATTATTAACTACCTGTTCATAAGAGGCAATTTGTATTGACCTTTTTTTTTGTGGGATATGGATGGTAATAAATAGGTATACTTTGGAAAGAAACTAGTAACCTAAAATATTGTTCCGAGAAATTACAAATCACTAGATAAATTATACATATAGACTCAGGTAGAACATTATTTACCTACAGCTTACCTTTTTGGGACACAGTTCAATAAATTAGTTGAATAGTAAAGACACGGTCATCCCACATGTGCAATACAATTGCATACAGGAGAGGATTAAAGTTTGCGAATTTAAAATTGTACTATTTTTAAAATAATATGGTTAAATCAAATATTTTCTGGTAATATATAATTAATTTTATTTAATGATCAACCTTATAAGATGTTAAGAATTATTACTAATTATTTCTAATTAAACTTCATCAATTATAATAATTATTTAAAAAAGAAAAATGGTAAAATATTATACATTTTTGTATAATATACTGATTAAAAATAATTTTAAATAAACATTTTTTCAAAATAATTTATAAAATTAAATGTTACATACGAATGGATAACGCCATCTCGTAGAAAGTGTTTGGATCTTGTTGATGCATTTAACAAATACGTTAGAGGTCGGTGCGTACAATTTTTAATAAGCGAGAACGTGCACAGATTAAAAAACATATTTTCTACAAACACGTATACTGAATTTTCGATAATAAAAATTAATTATTATAATAAAATATATTATTAAATAGAAAAATTAAACAAGGATAAATAAAAACAATATTTTATTCTGAAAATTATTAGTTATCAAGACCTTAAAAGGCTTAAAACGTAATGCTTTTTATTTTTTAGTACAATACACACGTAATAACATTAATCAAAGATCTTATATTAATAATAAAAAAAAAGTTTCTAATAAGATAATAATATTTGGCATTAAGTACAGTTTATAAATTTATAATATAAAAAAGGCTGTCCAGGGCGATCTTCCTTAAATAAGTTTGATATCTACGGAATAAGTAGTTCTTATATATTTATTTAAATTATAAGTTCCATGATTTAAATCCATATTATTATCAATTTTAGTTATCAATTATTATGCAGTATACACACCAAATAACTTTGAATTGAGAAAATTCTCTCTTTTTATTAAAGTTTGATTATGTTTCTCGTACGTTTCCAGCTTCATTTATTTACTGTTAGCCGTCGCATCATAGTTGGAAATAGCAATTTGTCTTTTTTTGGTGGGGTTGAAAGGGGGGGAGGAGTTACTGGAATGGCTTGATTTCAGTCCAGTATATATACATATGTATATATATATATATTGTAGAAGTTACAAGAATTTTACCCAAACCATAATTTATCTACTTGCAGTGACCGACACCCGTAGAAACCATTTCGGTTACAATAGGTAAGTCCCATAAATATTATCGATTGTCACGAGTCACGACTTATTACATATCAGGCATCAATGGTATACGGGAATGCCATTTATCAGTGTATAACTTTATTGTACCACAAAAAAAACAACACAGAATACAAATCTTTATCTTTTTGGGTAGTATCTAAAGCCCACCCTTAGAGTTTCTCGAAATAACAAGATAATACTAATCACCAGTACAGCAGTACCTAATACCTATGTCCTTTATATATATATGTATTTTATTCGTGGGAGTCGTTATTTTGAAATGTTAACAATTCGTTTCGGTAATTTTCCTTTAATAAAGTAATTTCTTTCTGTTATAATAAATTAATACCAAATTTAAATTATAAATAAATAATAAATAATAACAGACAACTACTGAAATCGAACTTTCCTTCACGATTGATTGTATCGTTAATAATGTAATAATAATATATAATATAAAATTAAAATGTTTATCACGATATTTTTATCAAATTATATAATAATTATGGATTGGATGTACGAGTAGATATGTTAGGGGCTTTCGTCTAGTTGATATCTACTTTTGGGGTTCAAAAGTAAAAATAAGTAACCAGCACTTTTATTAGAAATAGAAAAAAAAATAAAAATAGAATTAGGAAAAAACATGAATTTTTTCCAAACCAAATTTCTATAAAATCAATTTTTTTTATTTAGTTGTAGTTCAAAAACTGAATTACCGAATTAGTAAATAATGTAGGTACAGGTAAATACTTGGAATTTTCACTAAATGTTTTTATTGACATTTCTACAGATAGCATAATTTTTAAACAGTTGACCCTCTTTGAGATTTTTATAGACATTAGCTATTCGATTTTTTATATTTAGTTATTTTTCTATAAATATTGATAGTTAATTAAATAAAAAATCCCTCATAAGTTGTTATTAAAGTTATTTTTTAAATATTGAAGATACGTAGTTATGATTCTTTTTTATAGACATCGAAGTTCAAATTTGAATGATCGAAAAATAATAAGTATTTGAAACTTGAAACTTTTATGTATAATATTATTTTACTCTATAAACACATAACATTTTAAAACATTTAGGTAAAATTTAAACTGCTGTGT